CCCCCTGGGTGCGCTGGGTTCAGTTTGCTGGTATTTTGTTGAGGATTTTTGCTTCGATGCTCGTGAGGGATGCTGGCCTGGAGTTCTCTCTTCTGGCAGCGTCTTATCTGACTGTGGTGGAAGTGCTGCTGATCTCATTGGGTGGGTTAGAAGTTTTCATCCTTGGTGGACACGTTTGAGAGGGATTGCGGTGAGTTCTGTGTGTGTTTGTGGAATCCCCCTGAAGCATTCAGGTCCAGGGGTTTTCTCTGTGAGGAGATTTCTGGTTACTGATCCCGTCCGGCCCTGGTTATAGATCCACCCAGGGTCTGTTTCTTCATAGTTTAGTCGGTAGGAATCTGTCCGTTTCATCAACATTATTACTCAGTTTGTTGACCCTTTTTCATTTCTGCAGAATCGATAATGTTCCAACTTTGATCTTCGTAACTTGAGTCTTCTCTCTTTTTTTCCTGTCGAGTTTGCTAAAAGTTTGTCAAGTTTGTTGATCTTTCCCAAGAGCCAACTGTGGGTGCCATTGATTTTCTCTGCTGTTTTTCTGACCTGTATGGTTGACCTCTGCTCACCTTTATGTTTCTTTCCTTCTGCCACCGCTGGGTTAGTTTTTTTCTCCTCTTTCTAGCTCCTTAATATGTGAGCTACAGTTGTGTTGTTGATTTGAGGTCTTTTTGTTTTTTAAGAAAGTGTGGCTATAAATTTCCCCTCTGTTGTGTTTTCTTGTGTCCTGTAAGGTTGAATGTACTGTTTTCATTTTTGTTTGTCTCTACATAGTTTTCTTGTTTACCTTTTGATTCTTCCAGATTCATTGGTTGTTTGAGAGGATTATTTAATTTTCACAAAGTTTAAAATTTTCCAGGTTTGCTTCTTTGTTTGTATTTCTAGTTTCGTCTCCCTGTGGTTGGAGGCTGCCTCGTATGTGCTCTTTTGAAGTCCGCAGAGGTTTGTTTGTGGCCTGAGCATCCTGTCGCCAGCAACCATGTGTGCCCTGGGCCTGGCCAGGTCACCCTGCACATCTGGGTCTAGCTGGTCTGCCGTGTCGTGTAAGCCCTCTGGGTCCTTCCCCACCATCGTCTGGATGTTCTGTCCATTACTGATAGAGAACCAAGGTCTCCAGCCCCATTACTGTGGTCTTTGGTTTTGTCCACTTCTGTGAGCTTTGAGTCACGTCTTTGATGGACTTCACTGGGCGCAGAGATGTGTGATTGTTCCATCTTCCTGTAGTGAAGTTGTTAATGCTAATTCCCTCCTTCATCCCTTGTAACCCACTTTGATTTATGGTCTGTCTGGCCTCAGCACAGCTGCCCTTGCTCCCTTTGCTGTTTCGGACGACACCCTCTCCAGGCCCTTCACTCTCAGCCTGTTTGGAGCTTTGGATCTGAAGCAAGCTCTTGCAGAGAGCCTGTCCTTGGATTACAGATTGTGAAATCCATTCTGCCGGTCCCTGCCCTTAGGTGAAGAGTTTCATCCATTTACATTTAAAGTGATTGCGACACAAGGACAGCTGCGACGTTGCTGGCTGCACTCTGTTCCCACAGCCCAGGGCCCTCGTTCATCCTGCTGCCTTTTTTTGGCGTTTTTATAACAGATCATCCACACTCCTTCCACACTGCCTTTTGTGCACGCCTGTCGTTGTCTTCTTTGTGACGGCCGTGGGGTCTCATTTATCACCCTGCATCCCGGCCCTCAAATTCAAGTTGTCACCAGCTCAGCGTAAAGACAGGCAGGTGCGGCTGCCCAACCGGCCCCAGCCTTTTGGTTGCAGAGGTCTCATCGCTGCATCTTTGCAGGGTGTGCCCTGGGCATAGACGAATAGCTCCTTGAAACCCATGTAAACTGTGAGGTTACAGACCCAAGTTACTGTAGGCGAGCTTCAGACTGGTAATTACATTCTCGAGGGTATTAGTCTCTAAGTTATGCAGAAAACAGAACATGGAGCTATGAGCCCTTGCTGCACCCGTGCAGATGTCGCAGTAGCCTGTGACGGGCCTGTGCGGAGCTCTGTCATCTGTCCTGTGACTTCCAGTCCCCACCTGGCACCCTTGCCCTCCCTCTGGCATTTGGCTTTTGTCAGGAAGAACAGTTTCTTTCCCTCTTGAAGGATAGTTTGGGCAGATGCTACCACCCTGGTTTTTGGTGCGTTTGTCTTCTCCTCTTGGGTGTTCAGCCCTGGCTTGGCAGGTCCCCGAGGCCTGACATCCCAGGAGAGCCCAAGGGTGCCTGGAGTCCTCCTTGAAGTTCAGCCTGTGCTTGTGAGCTTTCCCTGGGGGCAGTCAGGAGTGGCCCCTGGGCCGCGTGGCTGCTCTGAGCACAGGGAGCTGTGGGGGCTCCCAAGCGTGTCGGTATGGCATCTGCACCCTGTCCCCATCTCCACCTGCCGTGTGCCCTGTCACTGCTACTGCTGCGTGTCAAGGCAGCAGCGTCTGGGACCTGCCGGGCTGTGGTCTCTCGTTCCAGGCTGTCACTTGCTGTCTTAGGGGATATCAGCCGAGGGTCGATGACCCCACGTGTGCCTGGGCCCTGCTGCCCGGTGCTCGGCGTGGTGCCTGGCATGAGGGCCCGGCAGATGTGAAATGCGTCGCCCTTTGCCCCGTGGTGGCTTCACCACAGACTCGGTTTTATCTGCACGCCTGTCGCAATGCTTGCTTTGTCGATTTGCCTGATGTTTCTCGATTTTCAATGTTGTTTTTGATGCTTTCCTGACAACACAGAGCTCGATTTTTCTTGCTGTGCCGTCTTTTGCTGATGTCTCTGCTCTTTGCTGTCTGAGCAGCATGGTCTCATCTTGTCTTCTGCAGGAAGCTCCCCACCCAGCCTGTGATTATGGAGCCTTTTGGACCCATCCCTCCTCTCCATTCGATTTTTAATTGCTTTTGTCTATTTCTGCAGATTATGGGTTGTTGTGACTTCTAGTTTCATGAGGACCCCGGTGTGTGTCATGTGTCTTTCGACCCAGAGGTGCTGAGAGCCCAGGTGGTGTCCCAGAAGCACCCGAGTCGCTGGTCCACACCGCCGCTGTGCCTCCTCCTCACTCGAGCTGTGCGGGCAGGGGCTGTGAGGCCAGGCGAAGCCTGAGAGCTGCCTGGCTTGTGTAGTCACTGAGCAGCTTTATGAGCTACGCCCAGGTCCCGGCCATCAGAGAGCAGATGGCCTGACGGAGCCCTGGTCAGATCCACCCTAACCGTTCCCGGGTCTCGGGAGGGGTTGCAGGGGCTGCCCCGCTCCCCGCAGGCTTCCTCTGAGCTGGAGCGCAGCCCAGGCCCTCCTTGTGGAGGGAGGGAACACAGTTTCCGTTCAAGGCAGCTGGCCACTGCTGGGCGTGGGAGGCGGGAACCTTGGCCGGCACAGGTCTGTAATGCAGAGCCATCCAGTGACCTTAGGGCCTTGGCATGCGGAGGCCGCTTGCTTGGGAACTGTAGGAATTTCATGGCAAGGGAGTGGGAGGACTTTGGGAAGAGCCAGCTGTGCATCCCTGGGGTCCCAGACCAGGAGGCGGCAGCTGCTGCGTCCCCGTGCGTTAATCAGGGATGCTCTGCCCTGGGAAAGAGGGCGGTGGCTTCCCCACTAGCCCTTGGCTGGTGGATCCCTGCTTCCCAGTGTCACCGTGGTGACAGTGGCGGCTGCCCAGGGCCAGCTGCCCTCAGCCCTGGGGGTGGCCGATACCGAAGCCTGCTGTGTCCATGACTTTCCAGCTCCAGGCAGCATGGAGGGGGCTCCCTGCAGGAGGCAGGGAGAGACCAGGGCCCTCCAGCTGCGGCCAGGCTGCCACGTGGACATGGGAGGACGCATGCGCTTCGGGGCTACCAGCCCTCAATTTTCACCCTGCTCCTCGGGGAGCTCGGGGACCCCGCTGGCCCGCGACGTTGAGGTTCCACATGTCTTCCCTCCTGCTCGGCACGGGAGCCCTGATCAGCCTGGCCCTGCAGCCACACCGTGACTCGCACACATGCACACAGGCACACACATACCCTTCACCACGGCCTCTCTCAGGCTCCCTGGGTGTCGGCGACCCCATCCCAGAAGCGCCCTTGGCCATGGCCTGCCCACTGCCAGGCGTCCCCTCCCGTGTGACTGTCACGCACTGAGGGAGCAGCCGCACCAGGACTCTTGAAGAAAGCCTGCGGCCGAGTCCTGCCTGGCACGGTACTGGCCAGGGCCCCCGAGGGATGGTCTCCTGGAGTGACACTGCCTGTCCTGTGCCCAGCGGTGCCATGCCCTTGGATGTCCGTGGGCTGTGCCTTCGCAGGCCTGGGAGGCATTATGGGTGGCAGCCTGTGTCTTCCTTCAGCAGCTCGGGCCCACTGGGAAGGACGGGGTGAGGTGCAGCACGCTGGCTGCGGGTGTGCGCGTGTGTACACATGTGCTCAGTGACTACAGGGAGATAGCAGGCTCGGTGTGGGCGTGAGGGCATGTGGTGAACGCTTGAGGGCCTCATGGTGACCCTGGGTGACACAGGACTGCAGACCACGGGGGCCACTGCTGTGCCCCTTTGCATGGGGCACCCCAAGTGTCGTGTCCCTGGCATGGAGAGGCCTGCACCCCGGGGAGGAGCAGCAAGAGGCCAGGAAAGCTGCCACCTCCTGGGAGCCCGACATTGGCCCAGGCCCAAGAGACTCCCCAGCTGGTAGCACGGCCAAAGAGGCTGGGGTGAGATGCCCGAGTGGTGTCCCTCGGGGTCCGCAGGGCTGCAGCCCTGCAGCAGCAGCTGTGCGCCTCCCCTCGTCCCTTCCCAGCTGTCCCAGGGCGGGTAAAGCGCACGTGCGTGGGGCCGGGGTCCCCTCTTCCTGCGGTGCAGAGACGCTGGCACTCCCGGGGTACGCTGCATCCTGTGTCTCTGCTGTGCCCGCTGTGGCCCTTACAGAGTGTCCCTCGGGTCTGAGTGGGGCTCACTCTGGCGGTCACTGGTGGCAGAGCCCAGAGGACCAGGACAGAGCGGGGGTGCGGACACGCCCTCCCTGCCTCGGCTTCCCTCGTGCGGCCCCTCACCTGCTGCCTTCTCTTTGCAGAGAGCACCAGCCAGGAGGTGGGGCTGCTGCAACTCCTTGGGGAGCCCCTGCCCCAGCAGGTCACGGCCGTCAGCGACCCCGAAGTCGGGCCAGCCTACGTCTTCGGACCGGATGCCAACAGTGGCCAGGTGGCCAGGCACCATGTGCCCAGCCCCTTCTTCCGTGACTTCTCGCTGCTGCTCCACGTGCGGCCAGACACGGAGAGCGCGGGCGTGCTGCTCGCCATCACAGACGGGGCGCAGGCGGCTGTGGCCCTGGGCGTGAAGCTCTCGGAGGTGCAGGACCAGCACCAGAACATCTCGCTGCTCTACACGGAGCCGGGCACCAGCCAGACCCGCACGGCCGCCAGCTTCCGCCTGCCTGCCTTCGTGGGCCAGTGGACCCGCTTTGCACTCAGTGTGGATGGTGGCTCGGTGGCACTCTACGTGGACTGTGAGGAGTTCCAGAGGCTGCCGTTCGCGCGGTCCCCACGGGGCCTGGAGCTGGAGCCCGGCGCTGGCCTCTTCGTGGGCCAGGCGGGAGGCGCAGACCCCGACAAGTTCCAGGTAGCCCTGCTGTCCCGGGTGGGGCCGCCGCCTGAGCCGGGGTTAACCGCTGTGCCTCCCAGTGCAGCCTAGGGGTGGAGGCTCTGCCTGCTGGTGGCCAGCCTGGCTTCCTGGTCCACATGGGGTGTTTGTGCCCCTGGCTTTCTGACCTGAGGTTTCTCTGAGCCCTCAGGGCCCAGCCCACAAGGGCCCCTCACGGCTGTGTCCCACGGCTGTGGCAAGTGGGGTGGACAGTCCAGGCCAAGGTCAGGTGCGTCGGGGCCAAGGGCAGCCCAGTTTCTTGATCTGCACAACCAAACCTTAAGGCCCCGTTAAGAATTGTTAACCGCTTGTTAACCCCGGCGGCCGGCAGCGGCAGGCCCTGAACCAAGCGGGTCCTTCTGTCAGTGCCGCACACCTGGGAGGGGTGGAAGTTGCACACCCGTGAGAGGAGAGTTGGCATGCCTGGGAGGGGTGGAGGCTGTTGGAGAGTGGCACACCGGGTGTGGCTGGCTGGCTCGTGCCGTGGGTTACCATTCCAGGCCACGTGCCCTGCCCCCAGGGCCCCTGTGACTCCACCCAGAGCAGCGTGGGCAGGGCTTCCCCGAGGTGCCAAGGCTCGGCTGTCTCCTGTGTCCCGGGAGACGTCTCCCCAGGGCCTTTGTCCCCAACTGCTGGGCCTCTCCCACAGTGCTGGCGGAGCTCTCTTGGGAGCAGTCGCGTGGGTGCCCTTGTGTGGCGCTGACTCAGCCTGAACCCCGGAGCTCTGGCTGGAGCGCAGCCGGGCCGCCCCTGCCTGGTCCAGACAGCCCGCGTGTGTGCTGAGGGAGCTGTGTCCGCAGGGGACGGAGAGCTGACTGGGGCCCTGACAAGGCTGCCTGTCTGAAGTTCCTCCAGGTCCTGGGCTCTGAGCCTTCACCCTTGGCAGGAACTTCAACCACAGGCTTCAGGAGCCCCAGGACTTTGGCACCAAACTGGGCCCTTTGTGTTTCCTTTCGATCCTCGAACACGAGAGCAGGAAAGAGCGTCATCCTTCCTAGCGCGGGGCAGCCTGTGGTGTGACCTCCCAGGCATTCCCAGAGGAGGTGGTGTCCACGCACTCTGTACTGGCATCTGCCCACCGGACAGTGGGCACTGGGCCCTGGGCGCCCTGCTGCCGCCTACAGTGCTGGCAGGCTGGGTCAAGGCCTCACTTGGGCCTCGTGGCACAGCGGGCCACCGGCTGCCCTCACATAGGTGCAGTGTCTGGTAACCTGCGTCTTTAGGGCTGTTGGTGGAGACAAGCGTTTTCCCCGCCTGGGTGTAGGCTGTTCATTTTTCTGCTGTTTGTTTTCTGCGACTGACCTGTTTATGTTCTTGCATTTTGGGGGTAGGCTCAGCCATTTCTTACTGGTTTTATGCAACCTCTTTATATATGAAAGAAATGGAGCCTTGGTTTCGTGTGGTGCAGCTTTTACGTTCCAGTTTAACATTTGCCCTTTTGCTTTTTAAACAACCATCGGGACGTTTGAAGGGTCGGTGTGGCTAAATCTGGTCTGGAGAAAACACTAACCTTTACCCAGCAACGTGGGCCAGTGGAAGGATGGAGTTGGTCCCCGGGGGTGCGTGCCTGCTCTCGGCTGCCTGCTTCTCCCTGGTTCCACATCCTGTCCTCGTGGCCTAGAGCAGGGATCCCCAGCACCAGCCCACAAACCGGTACCGGTCTGCGTTAGGAGCCGGGCCACACAGCAGCAGGTTAGCAAGGAGCAGGGAAACTTCTGTCTTCACGGCCACTCCTGTCACTGCACTCCCACCCCGAGCTCTGCCTCCTGTCAGGTCAGCGGCATCGGCTTCTCACTGGCACGTGGGCCCTGCTGTGAGCTGCGCGTGTGAGGGGTCCGGGTTGCACACTTCTTTGAGGTTCTGGTGCACTAGTAAGAGAAGCAAAGCCCAGGTGCAACAGTGATAGAGAGGAAGCGCCACTGCGGTAACAGCAGAGATAGAGCACACAATAAATGTCACGTGCCTGATCAGCCGCCCTGGCCGTGGACAGGTTGTCCTCCGTGAAACCACTCTCTGGTGCCAGAAAGGTTGGGGACAGGTGGTCCAGAGGCCCCAGTTTTCTCTGTGGACTTTCAATCAGATTTCTGCGGGGAGGGAAGTGCGCTTGTGTGCTGGCGCAGAGACGAAGATTCCAGCGCAGATGTTTTCAGACTTTCCCTGGATGGGGTTCCTGGGAAGGAGCCCTTTGAGTCGTGTACTCCACTGGACCTGGCAGAAACAGGAGACAGTGGGTCCTCTGCATCCCATCGGAGGAGGTGGTTGGCCCTTCCTGCCACCACTCACGGCCCGGGCAGAACCAGATGCCCTGGGCCTGCGCCTGGGCCTGCGCCTGGGCCTGGGCCGGTGCTGCTGGGTCTGGCGCTGTTTCAGACCGAGGTCTCGGGGGTGCCTGGTGTTCTCAGGTTCACCCCTCTGGTGCAGTTGAGGGAGGCATCCTGGAAGCCATCCTCTCCATCCAGTTGGCCCAGTGTTCCGGGAAACACTTTCTGACCCTGTTTCAGGATCTGCACCTTTCTTTGTTATTTGACACTGGAGCTGCGTCTCTTGATTTAATGTTTCTTGCTGGAAGCTCCTTTTCCTCATTATGTTTGCTTTTTTCTTTTTCTTTTTCCTTCCTGTGCTGGGATGGAGCCAGGGCCTGGTGCACGCTGGGCAAGTGGTTCTCCTCGGCACCAACTCTGTCCCTCAGCCCCGAGCACCCTTGGTCCTGGTCCATACGTGACGCTGCCGGGAGCAGACGCCCTGTTCCCCGAGTCCTTGGCCTTCAGCCCTCACAGTGAATATGCTTTCTGTCATCTCTGTTTTGCCCAGTGATGAAAGTGGCTGAGGTTGTGAGTTCCCCAGAGTGCTGCCGTGGCCACGATGTGATACTAGGTGGTGGGGGTGCTGATGTCTGAGGTCACAGCCGGCCGTGTGGGGCCCGTGTCTCAGGATAGGCTTCCCGGCAGGTGGCAGAGTGCAGGGCTCTGACCTCGCTGCCCTCACCAGAGCCGTGCCCAGTGAGGGAGTTCGGTTCACCCTGGGTGCAGCTTGAGCCTGTGCCCCAGGCCTCCTGCAGGCACTCCTGCCCGCCACCGCCTTTATGATGAGCCCTGGACCCTGTTACTCACGCAGATGGCACTCGCGAGGGGCACAGCCCTGGCCCAATGCCGTGCAGAGGTGCTGCGTCCTCCTGAGCCATGCGGAAAGCGCTGCGCGGGACGCAGTGACCCCTGCAGCACTGATGGGAGCACTCAGGGCCACTCGGCGTGGGAGGCACGAGGACGCACAGAGGCCACCGCGGCCAAGGGGGCTGCACCCCACCCCCATGGCACAGCGGGCTGTGGGTCCCCAACACGGGTCAAAGGGAAGCAGAAGCAGCAGGCGGCCCCGCAGCACGGCCTCCCCGTGTAGGTCCTGGTCATTCACACACATGTGGGCAGCGTGGCAAGAAGTGTCTCCGAGCCTCCTCCTGAAATGCTCTGTGGTCCCTGAGCTCCCGCTGTCCCTGGGTGTCACCGTCTGGCTCTGAGTCCGTTACGTATACGCAGTGAGTCCCGTGGCTTCTGCACGGCCGGCATTGCCCCTGCTGAGAGTTCCAGCAGGGCGTGGCCTTGCTGATGGCGGGCACAGGCTCTGCCCACCTGAAGCTCCCAATGGATTGTGGCACCCCCAGCCTGGGGAACAAGCTGCTCTCTGCAGCGGGGCAGCCTGTGGGGCTCAGGGGTGGGGTTGGTACATGGCGATGGGGAGTCCTGCGGCCTCCTGAAGCACTGCAACCACCCTGACACTGCACGCCCCCGAGAAGCAGTTTCTAGGATTTGATCCGGCCCCTCCTTGTCCCTGGGCGTCTCACACTGTTGACTCAGTCCCTACTGCAGGTCTGGGGGGCCAAGGGGCACTGGAGCCCGTTCCTGGGAGATGCTGCAGTGCGACAGGGAGGGGCTGGGTGGGTGCCAACCCCACACTGCCCCACCTGTGCCCGGGTGGTGTCGGGTCTGTGCTGCCCACACATTCACACAGAACCACATGCTCTCCAACGTGATCACACATGTGCACACAAGACCACGTGCTCCCCATCATGATCACACATGACCATATGCTGTCTGGCAGGATCACAGTCCTCATGCATGACCATATACTGTCCAACATGATGATATGCACTTACACGTGATCACACACACCCACATGCGTGTGCACACGTGCTCTCGCACATCCTCCTGGTGCTGTGGACTCAGCGTGCCGCACCACTCCTCACTGTGGGTGCCAGGTCTGCCTGTCCCTCTGCCCAGGGGGGCGTGTGAGGCTCAGCCTCTCGGCGGCGGCAGCCAGACCTTAGGTCTCTGCCTCTGGCTCCCTGCTGTCTTCGGGGGTGTTGGCCAAGCACGTGTGTGTGCAGCTGCCCAGACGGCCTTGGCTTCACCACGTCCGGGGACCTGCATGTCCTTGTCTCGGCCAGGCTGTCTGGGAGGTGGTGCCTTCTACAACGAGGGCTGACTGCCTCCCGGACGGCCTGGCGCGGGAAGGATGGGCGGGGTACACCTGGCATCCTTGGCGAGGGCCCCTGCTCGGGCTGCTGGAGTTGGGCTCAGACGTACCAGGCAGGACTGGTGTGAGTCATATCCTCAGCAGCCCTGTGACCCTGCTCCCTCTGTCTAGGGCGCGATCGCCGAGCTGTGGGTGCGTGGGGACCCCCGGGTGAGCCCCGTGCACTGCGTGGACGAGGAGGACGAGGACGAGGATGGGGTGAGTGATGCTGGGCCGTGGGGCAGGGGCATGGGGGCCGAGTCCCGAGCGACGGCCAGGTCTCCAGAGGCGCCACTTTTCATTCACCTCCGTGGCAACAAGCAGGGTCTTCCCTTGCCTTGAACTTGGTGCTTAAGGCAACAAAATGTAAAGTGAATGTTAGGGGCCACCCTGAGAGCTGCAGGGTGGGATTGTGGTGGGAGCAGCTTAAAAAGTGTGTGTGTGTCTTCTGTGCTGTGTGTCTCTAGCGTGTGACGTGTGCATCTCTGGTGCGTGTGCAGGAATTGCCCGTACGGCCCCAGGCAGCCTCAGGACAGAGCCCTCGTGGCTTTCCTGGCCTTGGCGTCCTCAGCGCTGGTGCCGCCTGCACCCCTTCTCCCACGACAGTGCCCAGGAGGCCGGGGCACGTGCAGATGTGTGTCCTGGGGGTCTCTGCCCCGACCGACGGCACGTGTCAGACGTCAGCATGAGGCTCTTTCGGGCCCCATGGGCTGGGGCTCTGCTCATGTCCTGGTGTCCCTCGCCCTGCAGGCATCTGGCGACCTGGGCAGTGGCCTGGAGGAGCCCCGAGAGCTTCACAGGGAGGACGTGGTGAGTGGGCAGTGGGCAGGGCTGGAGGGGGCTGCGTAGGGTGGGCCCCGCCGGGGGGGGGGTGTGCACACATACGTGTGACTTCCCAGGGCTCTTCTGTGCCGTGAAGATGGGTTCCCTACTGCAAATGGCACTGGGGTGCCTGGCGGTGCCCTCTGAGAGCTCAGCCAGTTCCTTCCTGCCGCTCCTGCTTGGCTGCAGGGGGTGTTTGAATGCCCCAGTGAGGCCTGGGTCCTGGTTCCATGTTGCTTTGGTCTTCGGGGCGGCCTTGGCCTTCACTTTGCCGCAAGCTCAGTGGCCATGGAGGACAGATGGGCTTGGAACTGTCATGCCCACAGGTGGTACCAGTACTGCCTGAGTAGCCTCTCTGCAGACCCAGGGCTGTGGTGCCCGCCCCGTCACCACCCTCCCCACACCAGGCCCTGGGCCCTGGGCCGGTAGCTGCCTGGGAAGCATGTGGATGCTGCGAGCCGTGGCCTCAGGTCTCTCATGCCTGCCAAGATGTCTAGGGTGCGCGGGGGCAGTGTCCAGGGCCTCCCTCAGCCACTGCTGTGTGCTCTCCCTGAGCCTGGGCATCCCCAGGACCCCAGGCCACACGCGTGTGGTGGGGAAGTCCCTGGCCACCATGGCTGGGTCTGCCGACCGGCCGGCTTGCTCCACTCCCAGGGGTCAGGAGATCTGTGCGTGGGCTGCAGTCTAGGGTGTCCCCATCGTGACCCCCCCAGAGACACATCTGCCCCTCAGGTGTCCACGGTGCTGGCTCTCAGCCTCCAGTGTCCCCCGCCGCAGGAGCCTCTGCACTGGCCCTGAAGGGCCTGTCCCTGCCGCAGACAGTTGTAGGCTTGTGGACAGGACTTGGCAGGTATGCAGTGCCATCCTGCAGGCTGGAGCAAACCCAAGCAAACAGTTCCGTGGAGTCCTGGAACTTCTCCCCAACTGAAGCAACGGCTGCTCCTTATCTTCCTTAAAACCGATAAACATTCCACTTCACAAACGCGTCAGAGCCTGACAGGTCGCCCACTGGCCGAGTGATGGAGCCGTTTCCCGTGCTCTTGTAGGTGGCGACCCAGACGCCCGGCCTCCGCCCGCCTCCCCCTGTGACTTCTCCTCCTCTGGCCACGGGCGGCAGCTTGGAAGACACCAGGACGGAGGAGATTGAGGCCCAGACCACGGCAACCTCGTTAGGGCATGAAGCTCTTCCGGGTGTGTGTGAGCTAAGTGTGTGGGGGATAGGTGTGTGGTGTGTGCGTGGGATAAGTGTGTATGTGGGATACAAGTGGGTGGTGGTGAGCATTGCCCAGGGCTGGTGCTGTCCCCTGCTTCCGGGGCTGGAGTGGACACAGCCCTTGATTCTCTGGGACACGGGGCTGAGTGTCCACAGAGCCACAAGGCCAGCACAGGTCCTGGAAGGCTGTTTGTACCACTCTGCCGGGGCGACCACCCTCGGTGGCCAATCCCTACGTCTGGCTGAACGCTCAGTGGGCTTTGTGCCCAGCCTAGGGCTGAGGTTCCCCAAAGGGCCCAGGTAACAGGTCACCTGACGTCCCCAGGAAATGACATCCAAGACGATGTCACTGTTTTCTGCCGGGGAAGAGGCTGTGGGGAGCGGTGTCCACTTGCTCTTCATGGTCAGTGCCTTGTGGGGGGGTGGAGGCCCCAACACACCTGAACTCTGCCGTGGCCAGCTGTGTGCCTGTGGCCTGTTCTGTGTTCTGGCTGTCATAGGCCCTTCTTGTTCTTACAAAGCTGAGCAAGCCACGCTCAGCTCCAGGCGCTCGGGCAGGTGGGGGCTGCGGCTGCTTTGGCCACGGGCGGCACAACACACAGTCCGCCATGCTGTCTCCAGGGAAGATGCCCAGGTGCCGTCGGGCCAAGGGGAGCCAGGGTGTGGGCTGTGGGGATCACCGGGGGTGCCTTCAGTTCTCCCAGGTGTGGCCCTGGCTGTTGGAGGACACCCCACATCCTCACAGGGGCCGCACGTCAGGGGGAGCTGAAGGGGAGGGATGAGGTGCATGTGAGTGCATATCGGAGGGAGAGGGAGGCAGTGTGTGTGGTGGTGGGCGTCCTGGTGAAGGCTGTGGAGTTCCTTTCTGTTGGTTTTCGCTCTTTTCTACTAAGTGTTGGGAGGAAGGCAGGTGCTGAGGTCTCCTGTTAAAATGCACCCAGAAACCTTCTGGAAGGTCTGCCATCATGGGTGTGGCTTAGATGGCCCTGCGGATTCATGCTGGCTCTGGCTTTCTTCCTGGTGGCCGGCTCTGTGTCCCTCCTCTGTCCCCCAGCCCTGGAGCACCAGGCAGTCACCCCAGGGGACAGCAGAGGCCAGGGCCATGGGGTCTGATGGCAGCCACTCCTCCTCCCCAGGTAAGACCCTTCCAGGTGACACGTGGGACGAGAGTGCCCCAAGCATGGGGCACCGCCTGGAGAAGGTGAGGCCCCCGCCAGGCCTGGGTGGCTTTACTCCTCTCACCGGCACCCTATAGAGCCCTTGGGTCCCCTCTGCCTGTCCCCCCCATGTACCCCTCTGCCCGTCCCCCCTCCCCGCCCTTCCCCTTGGGTATCATTTCTTCTTTGTGGCCCAGAGTCCTGCCCGGGACCTGGGCACGTGCCGCGCAGCACCAGGAGGACGTGTGGTTGCGGTAGCCCTTGCCCTCCTGTCCTCTTTGTTCCTAGGGAGGCCTGAAGGGGCAGAAGGGGGAGCCAGGAGCGCAGGGGCCACCCGGCCCAGTTGGTCCCCAGGGCCCCGCAGGCCCCGTGATGCAAGGCCCAGACACACACCCTGTCCCTGGGGCTCAGGGGCCCCCAGGACGCCCTGGTCCCCCAGGAAAGGACGGTGCCCCAGGAAGGGATGGCGAGCCGGTGAGCTTTGTCCCCTCAGTGTGGCCCTGTCGGGGGAGGAGGAGGGGGCTGGCCACAGAGGCCTTGTGGGTCAGACCCCGGTTGGCCGCCCGCTTGGAGCCACAGCTGGGTGGGTCCCACGGGTGCAGTTTTCGTGTGGGGTCAAGGGTCAGGCGACCCCATCCTTAACAGCCTCCTCTCTGGCACATTCCAGGGTGACCCAGGCGAGGACGGAAGACCCGTAAGTGTGCTTTCTTTCTGCCGTCTGATGGGTGGCGTTTGTGTGAGGCCCGCGGCCCCCTAAACCCAGGCACAGAGCAGAGGTCACAGCCACACAGTCCCCAGTGCAACCTCGCTCTGCTCGGACATGGCTGATTACTGGGAAAAGCAGGAAAGGGGAAAGGGCCTGTGCGCCTGCTGGGCCTAAGGGGAAGCGCGCAGCAGAGAGCAGGAAGGGAGGGAGGGAGGGAGGAGGAGGAGGAGGAGGAGGAGGAGGAAGAGAGCAGAGAGCAGGAAGGGAGGAGGAGGCGGAGCAGGGCCCCCGGGAGGTGAGCCCGGGCCTGGGTGGCTCACAGCCCCACAGCGTGTTACACGTATGCACACGGGTGCAGCAGGCCTTGCCCCGCTGTCAAGCGCAGAGGTCTCTGTTGTCCACAGCGCCACTGTGAGGAGGTGACAGGCGGCTCTCCCGGCTGCTGTGCTCCACTGTCCCGGGCAGTGGTGTCACCTCCATGGGCTGGCCTCAGGCTGGGTCCTCTCCCAGGCTCCATGGCTTCCATCTGCCCAGCTCTGAGGAGAATCGGGGTGCGAGGTCCCTACAGACGGTGCCGCCTTCCATACTAGCCTTGCGTTTGTGTTCCAGGGGGATGCTGGGCCGCAAGGCTTCCCGGGGACCCCGGGGGATGTGGGCCCCAAGGGGGAGAAGGTGAGTATCCCTGGGCTGGGTGCTCTCTCCTGCCCAGCCGACCTGGGGTTCCCATGGGTCACTATGATGGGCTTCTCTTTGCCCCAGGGAGATCCAGGAGTTGGGCCAAGAGGACCCCCAGGGCCCCAAGGGCCTCCAGGGCCACCAGGACCGTCCTTCAGGCACGACAAGCTGGTGAGTCCCCCGGGCCCTCCGCACGTGGGGACTGAGGTCCTCAGGCCCAGGGTGGTGGCCCGGGAGGAATGGCTCCTGCCCTGGGGTCTCTTGGCCACTTGTGGTGTCGTGAGCGTCTGCCTTGTGGGCAGTCAGTGGGCAGGGCACAGCGGGTAGGGCGGCCTGGTTATGGTCTCTCCGGCTCCTTCAGACCTTCATCGACATGGAGGGGTCCGGCTTCAGCGGCGACTTGGAGACCCTCAGGGTGAGTGGCGGTAGCCCCGTCTCAAGCTGGGGTGGGGGTAGGGGTAGGATGGCTGGCAGGGGTGTGGTCATCCTGCGCGGGCCATGGCTTCTCTGTCTCTGCAGGGGCCGAGAGGCTTCCCTGGGCCCCCTGGCCCCCCTGGAGTCCCAGGCCTGCCCGGTGAGCCCGGCCACTTTGGGGTGAACAGCTCCCATGTTCCCGGACCCCCAGGCCTCCCTGGCGTACCTGGGAAGGACGGCTCCCCAGGGTTTCCTGGGCCCCCGGTAAGTCCCGCTGCCCTGTCTGCCAGGAGTGGGGTGATACCCCGAGGGCACCATTCTTCAGGGTGGGGGTGCCCCCCTTCTGGGCTGCCTTGCGGTGCTGGGAAGCTGACCTCGCTGTGGCCCCGTGGGTGGGGTGGGAGAGCTGGGGTCTGCACTGCACATCGGACGACATGCCAGCCCAGCACAGCCCTGCGGTGCCTGCCGGTGTCCCCGTTGCTGCGGGCCACTCAGCCTGGCTCTCGCTGCTCGTGGTCAGGTGGCTCCGAGTCAGTGTCTCACAGCCCTGGGACCCCCACCCCTCGCCGTGGTGCTCCTGGGCCCCGTGCCCATCTTGGTGCAGTTCCCAGGCAGGAATGTCGGGGGCAAAGGCTGCGTCATGTCTGTTACACACCTTGCTGGGCGCCTCTGGGAAGCAGAGGGCCCCCTGCCCTGAGCCTCTGAGCCTGCTGCACCCCCACAGCACCTGCTTGACTGCAAGCTTGGAGACAGGGACTGGCTCTCAGTGCTTGGCCGTGCCTCCTGTCGGGACGTCCCGCGCCCTGACCTCGGGGCCTTCCTGGGTCCCAGCCATGGGAACTCCTATCCCAAGGGTTTTCTTCCAGCCCCCCAGCCTTCAGTGCCGATTTCCCCAGACCCCACTCTGCTCTTTTCTCCCAGGGCCCTCCAGGCCCTCCAGGAAGAGACGGTCCTCCAGGGAAAGCGGGCCAGAAAGGCAGCCTGGTAAGTCCCTCTGGCCGTCAGAGCGGGCATGACGCAGGCACACTGCGTGCCCAGAGGCCTGCGGGCAGGGGGTCGTCAGGGCTTCCTCACGGGGCCCCAGCCCTGCGGACTGGACAGCAGTCTCTGAGGAACAGGGACGCGTCCTCCCACGCGACAGCGTCCTTCCCAGTGTCAGTCTGCGCGTGTGGGTGGGGCTCTGCAGGGCGTGCAGGCCAAGCCCTCGGCCAGTATCTGAGTGATGCAGAGGCCACGGTCTGCAGTGCTTCCCGCAGCGAGGGGCAGAGGAGCCCGGGATGTGCAGAGGACGCGCCCTCCACAAGCGAAGCCTCTGCCCGCAGTGGAGCCGCGTGCTCCCCTCTCCTGGGAGGCCGTGCCAGCGCTGAGGGGCCACTCCCCCTGCCGAGCGCCTCTGGGGCCTGTGTCCCCACCCACCCAGGGCTGTGTGGGACAGACTCAGCGTGGACACCCCGTGTCGGGTCAGGGGGCGGCTGGGACAGGAGCTGCTTGCTCTCCCTGCTTTTTCTGTCAGTCTGACTTCACTGTAATACCATCCTTTCCTGCAGGGCGACATGGGAGCCCCCGGGCCCAAGGTACGAACCCCTGGTGCCACCCCCACATCCTCCCACGCTGCCCCGCAAGGCCCAGGGGCACGTTAGCAGCTCACTGTCCCTGGTGCTGACCATGGCCCCAGCCCTGTCCACCCTGCCAGGTGTTGCCAGGCAGGGGTTGGCATTCGTCCTGGGCAGCTGTCCTCGCTGAGCCCTGGGCTGCTAGGGAGAGGAGGCGCGAGGTATCCAAATCCGGCAAGATTTCGAGGGAGCCCCTGCCCTGTGAGCAGCACTGTCCCACTCCTTGGCCCCCAGCAGCCTGCTGGCACACGGGGCCTGGCCATGGCCTGGTGGGCCCAGGCGCTCTGCCCAGCAGGGAGCCCTGCGCCTTGCATGGTCAGGGTCCCTGGAGACAGGTCCCAGCTTTGGGGCGATGGCTCCCCTGACCTAGCCAGCGGCCTCAGGGATGGCACCGGTCTAGCTCCTCCTGGGCCTGCTGCCAGTGGGGCCCTGCGAGGGACAAGACTGGATGGGGACCGTTGCCAGTGGCTTCAAGGCGGTGACTTTGCCTCTTTACCCTGCAGGGCAGCAAGGGAGACCCGGGCCCTGTGGGTGATCCCGGGGAGATTGGCTTCACAGGAGCCCCTGGACCTGCTGGGCCCCCAGGACCCCCAGGACCTCCTGGGCCACCCGGACCGGGACCCGCCGCAGGATTTGTGAGTGTCAGCAGCTCTGGACCCTGGGAAGCCCGGCCTGCGTCATGGCTTCTCCCTTGGGCGGCTTCAGGCTGGGCAGCAGTGGCTGCCACCCCCTGGCTTGGGCTTCTCTCATCCCTGGTGGGACCCCAGATGAGTCCTGGGGGTAGCCCAGCTGAGGTGCTGCAGGGCTCAGTGTGGACCACACGCAGGGCCCCCACCTTCCCTGCCAGGGCCCCGCCTGTCACCACCCAGCCCTGTGTCCTTGGGAAGGGACAGAGACTAACGTCCCTGTGTCCGTGCAGGATGACATGGAAGGCTCGGGGGCCCCCTTCTGGTCGACAGCCAGAGGCTCTGCAGGGCTACAGGTATCGCCCCAACCTGGGCAGGGAGGACCACTAGGGGGCGGCAGCACCAGGGGTGGGAACAGGGCCCGGGAGCAGGGCCCCCTGCCCTCCCTGGAGGCTGGCTGGGCTGAGCCTGGGCTCCAGACAAGGCCTGTGCAGGGCGCTCAGGGTCAGTGGGCCCGGATCATACGGCCTGCAGGACAGGTCTTTCTGGGGAGAAAGACGGAGAAGTTTCCCTGTGGCCCTGCTTTGGGAAAGTAGCCAGGATTTGGCCTGAGCAGAATCTGAATTAGAAGCCAGCATTTGTCCAGGCCCCACCAAGAGCCCATGCATTGCTCAGGGTCAGGGTCAGTAAGAAGGAATCTGATCCCACAGTATCCTAGCTGTGGTCTAGGGGTCTCAGGCTTCCTGCTGCCCCCCTGCTGAGCCCTGCCTTCCTGGGGCCAGGGCCCCCTGGAGCTCTGGTCACTGCCCTGCCCAGGACATGTGCTGACCCAGTCAGATTGCTTGTTCTGAGCTAAATTAATGTGGGATTTTAATTGGGCAGAAATGGCCTGGTGGTGAGCTAGGATGGCCTCACCACAGTAACTTAGCGTTTTCTTTTATGTGTTTAAAAACCTTCCTGGTATCCCGCAGGTGCTGGCCCCAGGTGGGTGTGGGCAGGGCACGGAGCTCCAGGGTGCTACGTGTGGCGCTTGGTGTCCAAGTGTCCTAGCGGGGCCCATGAGCGCCTGGCCTGGGCTGGGCTGGCAGATGACCACACACGCAGTTGTGGAGTGTGCTTCGTCTTAGTGAAGTAGGACGTGGGCTTTCTCCGGGCCTGGCCTGGTGTGTGTGTGGTCACCGCATCCTGTGGAGCCATGCACAGACCTGACCCTTCTGAGGGGCCCGGGGGTCGCACCTTCGCAAAGCCCGGGCGTGCTGTTTTCCACCTCACGGTGCTGTTGGGAGGGCACAGAACTGGGCCGGGGGAGGCGGCTGCAGGGAGGGGCACTGACCCTGGCTGTCCTCTGCCCACAGGGACCGCCCGGCCCGCCAGGACTCAAGGTCAGTGAGCAGCACGGCCCGTGGGGGGTTGTGGGATGGGCAAGTCCGGCCGGTCTGCTGGGTGCCGCCCAGCAGGTGCGGTCTCCGCTCAGGAGCGGTGGGGAGCCCCTGTGGGAAACATGCAGACACAGTGAAAAGCTTGGCGGGAATACAAGCAGCACCCAGACCTGAGCAGTGTGGAGGGGCCGCTGGCCAGCGCCTCGCCTTTCCAACCCTGGAACCGGGATTCCTGGTTCCAGGCATCTGAGGAAAAGGGGCCTCGGCAAGGAGCTTGGAGCCCAGTCAGGTCCAGGCTCTGGGTCAGAGGGATGCAGGTCCGGAGGACCCAGGGCTTTGTCCTGGGGTCCTCTCCTCAGGTCTTCTCTTGGGGTCCTCTCCTGGTGGTCCCCTCTCTCAGGTCCGCTCCCCGGGCCTCGGGCAGCAGCCTCCTCTGGGAGCTGGGTCAGGGCGCACAGGGCACCTGCAGGTGGCGCTGTCCACCAGCCCTGCCCGCCTGCCTGCTGGGCTGCTTGCTTTGCTCTGTGGACCCGGGGATGGACATTCAGAGGCTGCGTAGCTGGGAGGGGTTCTGGGCCCTCCTGTGCAGGGCAGAGGCCTTGGGTGGCGTGGCCATGGACACATGTGGGGTCCAGAGCAGCAGCTGTTTGTTGCTGGGGAGGCTGCCCGTGTTGGGGCCCCTCAGCTCTGCGCTGGGGAGCAGCCTGAGCTTGGGGTGCCTCCCGCATGACAGACGCCACTGCCTGCATGGACAGGTGGGGAGGGCGTCGGCCTTGCCGAACACTCACAGAGCTCTCTGTCCACACAGGGTGACACCGGCCTGCCTGGGCCTCCCGGAGACAAAGTGAGTCCCTTGCTTGGGTCAGGGAAACCGAGTCAGTCGAGGGTGGGAGGGCCTGGGAAGGGACAGGCCTCTGGCCTCTGCACCCCGGCCGGTGGGGTGCCAGACGTGGGCGAAGGACTCGGGGGGCCCCTGTGCAGCCCAGGCCTGTTTCCCATTGCCCCAGCCACCCTTCCTCTGCCACGAGTCTGTGTCACCTAACTCATGCTCCTTGTAATGACAGCAGCCCCTGCCCCTAGCGAGCTCCACAAGGTGTCTCCAGGGACCTGGGGTTTTAACTCGGGAGGGGCAGCTCAGGCTCAGACTCTTCAGCACAAGAGCTGTAGAGCTTTGACACTGAGCCCCTCTAGCTCTGTCACCAGCTTCTCCCCACTCTGGGGGTGACGGTGGAGTCGCCTTCGGGGGCTGAGCCAGTGGCCAGCAGAAAGGTGGCTTGTCTCCCACCTGTTGCCCTGGGGCTTTCTTCAGGGGTCTCCACACCCTTGGTCTTGAAGTGATACACAGACCCTCTGTCCCTTTGTCTGTCCAGGGAGAAGTCGGAGCAGAGGGAGCTCGTGGGTTCCCCGGCCTCCCAGGCGGTGAGGGCGCAGCTGGGCCCATGGTGAGTGACCACAGCTGGCACAGGGTGGGCACGAGGCCCCGGGCTGAACCGGGCTGAGAGCTGGCACTGGGGCAGCCCTGGGGGTCCTGTGGAGCCCGAGTCCCCTCACCACTGTCTTAGCCCAAGGAGCCGAGGGTGAGTTGTGTCCCGGGACTCGGCCCCGTGTGCCCAAGGGATGAAGAGTTCTCTGGCTCTGGCGGGCCCCGTGTCCATGTGTGATGAACCATTTCCTTCCGTCTCCACAGGGACCCAAAGGAGAGAAAGGGAGCCTGGGAGAAAAAGTGAGTGTCTCTCAGAGGTCCAGGGCTACCTCAGCCCCACGGCTCCGGGAGCCCCACCCCAGGCCAGGGGCACCAGGGACCCGGCCGGAGTGGCCTCAGAGTGGACACACAACTTCCTTTTCAAGGGCGACCCTGGGAAGGACGGCGTGGGACAGCCTGGCCTCCCCGGGCCCCCAGGACCCCCGGGGCCTGTGGTCTATGTGTCGGATCAGGACGTAAGGACATGTGTGGGCCCTGGCCCCTGAGGGTGTGGCCCAGGCCTTCTGCACAGCTGGGAACCCAGCAGGGCCCGGCTCTTGGAGGCTCTGTGCATCCACCTGCTCCCCGCCGCAGCCCCCTGTTCCCCTGCATCTGTGGCAGCGTAACCCCAGGCCCAGCTGCAAGCAGACGGGTCCCACAGGCAGGGCCTCTGCCACAGGAGCCGCGACCCTGGGGTTGGATGCTATGCCAGGCAGCTGAGTGGTGTGACCAGCAGCTCAGATCCCTGCTGCCTGTGGTTGGCCCTGGGCAGACTGCCCTGGTCAGGGCTGGAGTGGGGCCTGGGTGCCAACCTGGATGCAGTCCCAGCACTGTCTGCTGTGTGACCTGGACGTGTTACCCACCCTCACTGTGCTTGGTGTCCTCATTTTTGAGATGAGGAGCACAGTAGTCTGGGACAGGTCGGGGGAAGGGTGTGCCCAGTCAGAAGCATGCCTAGCCAGGGCTGTTGTGCCCAGAGGTGCATGGGTCTGAAAAGGTGGTAGGAGGGCCGGGCATTGTGGTGCATGCCTCAAATTTTTGCACTCTGGGAGGCTGAGGCAGGAGGATTGTAAGTTGGGGCCCAGCCTAGACAATTTAGTGATGTACTGAGACCCTGTCTCAAAGTAAAAACTGGGAAGAAATGGAGGTGGTGCAGCACAAAGGCCGTGGGCTCAATCCCAGTACAAAGATGCCAGCAGGAGAAACCCACAGCCCCCACCCCCCATGTGTGGGCGGGGCCTCCTAGGGAGCAGGGCGTGCACAGGTGTGATGTGCACTGCATTGTCACACGAGGTGGATTTGAAGACATTGCCTGTAGTCTGGGGACAGGAGTGACGTCCAGTCCAGGCTGGGAGCTGGGTCTCCCCAGAGTGGCTGCACTGTCGGCTGTGAGACCTCAGACCAAGCTCAGGAAGGCCACAGGGAGCAGAATCCCAGCTGCACTAGCCCTGGCCGACCTGTGCCAGTCACGTGGCGGGAGCCGGGTGATTTTAACAGTGTCTCCCTTCTCTCTCTGATTCTTGCTTTCTGCTGGCGGGACAGCGAGCACTGGCCAGCGTGCCGGGTCCTGAGGTAGGTGTGGCTGCAGGGGGTGCTCTGGTCAGGACACCTCTGTCCCCATCCCCGGTGCTGACGCCATCCCTCTCCCTGCAGGGCAGGCTGGGCTTCGCGGGCTTCCCCGTAAGTAGGCGCACCCTTGCCCTGCAGCTACGGGGCCCTAGGCAGGGACGGTCAGGTCCTCGGGACACTTCAACGATAGTGGGATGAGGGGCGCAGGCTCCTACGCTTGGTCAGGACCCTGTGGCCATCCCAGAACCAAGGAGCAGACTCGGGAGATGGACAGGGTGGTCACCAGGCAGGGACATGGGTCGTGGTCTCTCACTTCTGCCTGGTCTCCACCCCAGGGACCGGCCGGGCCAAAGGGCGACGAGGGCTCCAAAGGCGCACAGGGCTCCCCAGGACCCAAGGTGAGGGCTAGGGCACTGCCCGCTGGGCTCAGGGTCCAGAGGCCAGGTCCAGAGCACTTGCAGCGGCCGTACCCCCTCTGTGACCCCAGGGGCAGGCCCTGTGTGGCCCGGTGGCCGCTCTGGGGCAGGCGTGTCCCCCACAAGCCACACTTGGCCGGCTCCACCTTGGGTCCTGCTGTGTCCTTCCCTGGTCCCTGTGCCCTCAGGGGGCCCTGACAACCACTGCGCTCCTGTTCTAGGGTGAGAAGGGGGAGCCAGGTGGCGTCTTCAGCCCCGACGGCAGAGCTCTGGGTCTTGGGCATAAGGGAGCCAAGGTGAGCTGCGGGTGGGACTGCGGCACCTGGGGCACAGCTTCTCCCAGTCAGCCTCTGGGACTTCCCCGCCGGGCCCCAAGGGTGCCTGAGGCCCCCATTCTTGTCGGCTGAGCCTGCTGCAGGGAAGTGGGGGTCGTGGGGTCCCTGCTCAGTGCCCCTCTGCCAGCCGTGCTGCAGCTGTGCTTCCCTGGGCCCCACCCCCTCTGGTGGGGTACCAGCAGGGTCCTGGGACTCAGGACAGGCCCGTCAGTTCTGTGGGGGGAGCCCAGTGCCCTAGGATTTGGGAGTGGCCACAAAGTTTGGGTCTCGGAGCCTGGAGAGAACTCCACACCCTGGCACCCTCAACTTCACATCTCAGTTGTCCCCAGTGGGACAATGCATGGGGCCCACTCATGGCCAGGCCTTGGGGCTGACCCCAGAGACACCGGCCCCTAACGTGCTCCGATCTCTGTGTAGGGGGAGCCTGGCTTCCGTGGACCCCCGGTGAGTAGGACGTGCTCTGCACTGGCCCCTGTGCTCTGGGCTGGGAAACCCGGGGTCCTGCCTCTGCTGAGGCCCTGGGTGGAGGGAGGGCCCCTACCCCATGCCCCACTCTGAGAAGCCCCTCAGCTCTGCTTCCTCCCCACAGGGGCCGTATGGGAGGCCTGGGCACAAGGGAGAGATCGGCTTTCCTGGGCGGCCGGTGAGTACTGGTCTCTGCTCAGGCTCCGTGCAGGGGCAGCAGGCTGGGCAGGCGGGAGGGGCCGGGGCCCCAAGGGTGGCCAGGTGGACAGCACCCTCCACTGTCCTTCCCTGAGCACAGCTTTCCTGCCATGTGGCCAAAGGGTGTCCAGGCCTTGTTCCCAGCCAAGGGGGCCTGGGGTGGGAGAGGGACCAGCTGGGTCCTGCTGGGCCAGGCACCCTGCCCTAGAGTCCTCTGGCAAGAAGGGGGAGGGCAGGGGTCCCTGAGGGCAGGTCGGCATGCCAGTCACGCTGCAGGCTGGGGCAGCCCTGCCAGGATTGAGGGAACCCGGGCTGCTGGCACCTCACAGCCCCTCGTGCTCTGCCAGGGTCGCCCCGGGATGAATGGGCTGAAGGGCGAGAAGGGGGAGCCCGGAGATGTCAGCCTCGGATTTGGCATGAGGGTGAGTCCTGCAGAGGTGGGCAGGGCCCTGGGGACAGGGCCGGCCTGGCTGTGACCTGGGGACCCCGCTCACCGGGTGGTGCTGCAGTGGCCGGTGCTGCGAACTCGCCCTGCTGGGCACACGCTCACAGGGGCACATGCACACGCGTGTACACGGTATAGTCCCGAGTGTGTACACAGTGCACGGCTACACTTACACACACACACTCCCCCACATGCACACCCCGGTGCGCACACTGTCCTGCATGTGCAGATGTGTGCCCAAAGCCCACAGGCACAGGAATCCACGGGGCTTCCCAGGAGGACACCCGGCCAACACGATCCCCGCCCCAGCATGGATGCCACCTTCCTCTCACGGCGCCCCTCTGAGGCGGCCACCACTGAGGCCTGCTTGGTCACAGCCCGGGTGGCCGCCTCCTCCCCCAGGGGCGTGTGGAGCGGCTGCCTTCTGGAAACGAGGCAGTCCTTGTCGCTGGCACCCGGGACCAGCGCGATGTGCTCACAGCTCCGGTTTTCCTGGCTGCTGCCGACAGCCTGACTGGGAGCCCGCCTGACCAGAGCTCTCTGTCCCCACAGGGCATGCCCGGCCCCCCAGGACCTCCAGGGCCCCCTGGCCCCCCCGGGACACCCATCTATGACAGCAATGTAAGTCGTTGAGGGACTGTGCAGTGGCGCTGCCCTCAGAGAAGCCACTGCCCTCTTCCTTTGCTGGCTTTGCATCCCACCGGTGCCCTGGGATGAGCCTGGGGGCGCTGAGAAGGCCGACCCCAAGAACACAGAGGCCTGGGTGGGCCGCCCTGGGCCTGCGGCTAGATCCACATGGGAAGGCTGAGGGCCTGGGCTGGGGCCAGTGGGTGGGGCCCCATTTTACCAGGCGCAGCTCCGGACCCCAACCCCACCCTTCTTCCAGTTCCGCCAGCTGCCGTGGGAGAGGGGGCAGGGGCCACGAGGGGCAGGGCACTGACCTCAGTTTCCAGGGCTCCGCTCCTCAGAGGCCACCTCTGGCCTGTTTTGGCAGGCATTCGTGGAGTCCGGCCGTCCTGGAACTCCGGGAGCACAAGGTGAGGACTCTGTGGGTGGGGACAGAGGCCCTGCGTAGGGATGTGGAGGGGCGCCCAGCTCCTGACACTCCGGGGGTGCTGTGCCCTCACCCTGCCCCGTGCTTTCTGCCCAGTGCCTCCCCCACAGCCTGCCTGTGACTCATGGTGGGTAGGTCCACTCCTGCCCCACCTTGCCCCTCCCAAGCAGCCCTTCCCAGCAGGCTCTGTGGTGCATGGTGTCCCTCTTCCTTCAGGGCTGCCAGGGCCTTCTGGACCGAAGGGTGAAAAAGGAGATGTGGGCCAGCCCGGACCACCAGGTGAGCACTGCCTCACATGCCGCTGGTCAGGCGCAGTGGGTGGGGGCCCAGGTGAGCACTGCCTCACGGGCCGCTGGTCGGGCACAGTGGGTGGGGGCCCAGGTGAGCACTGCCTCACATGCCACTGGTCGGGCACAGTGGGTGGGGGCCCAGGTGAGCACTGCCTCACATGCCGCTGGTCGGGCGCAGTGGGTAGGGTCCCCGGGTCCTGAGCAAGTCCAGGATGCAGCTGTCTATGGTCACCGTCTCACCCTCCCTGGACGGAGGAGAGCTCAAGTCCCATGGCACAGGCCCATAGCAGCGTTGCTGCTCGGCCTCCAGGCAGGGCAGCGGCCTGCGGGATGTCCCCACCGTGTGGACACCCCTAGGAGCGTGGCACAGGCCGCCGTGCTGGGGTCCTCCTAGCTTGTTCGTGGCACACCGGCCCTTGAGCTCACAGGCAGTGCGCAGAGCCCAGAGCTGGGGTCCTGACGCAGACAGAGTCACTTCCGGCCCTGACCACAGGCCTGTGCCGTGTGTCCCCAGGGACCTGAAGCCACCAGCTCGGCTCCTTCTCAGGGAACTGGAGGCTGCAGCCTTGAGGCTTCCCCAAGGTCAGGGCTCCCCCAAAGTCATAGTCCCCCCAAGGTTGCTCTCCCTGCACGGAGAGGGGCTTTGTTAAGGTGATTAACAGTTGCAGCCTTCGGTAGCAAGTTTCCAAGCCTCCACCTCGGGTGTCAGACCTGTTTAGTTTGATGGAAGCAGATGGGAAGGAGTCTTGGAAGTCAGAGGCGAATGAAGGAAAGTCAAATGGATCAGAGTCGAGAGGTCAGAGCTGGCTCTTTGCGAAGGCCGATGGCGTTCACACGCCTGTCAGGACGGACAGAAGTGGCAGGGAAGGTCTCCGCAGGGGTCCCCAGGGACAGTGCGGCCCCGGGAGAGGAGCAGCTAGCAGCTTCACAGCAGCAGGGTCTGCGGGCCAAGTGTCAGTGTTGACACAGACTCACCTGTCACGGTGGAAGGGCAGTTTAGAAATAGCAGTGGCTAAAAAATTTTTTAAAAAGAAGTAGCAGTGACAACACAACACAACACACAAACAACCAGAGGTGAACGCATGGGCCACAGTAACAAGCAGGACAAAGGCGCACAGGGAGCAGTGTGAGGAGAGGCGGGGGAGCCGTGTCCCCGCCCTCAGCCTGACCTCGCACTCCCATCCGCAGGGCAGTTCCCCTTGGACCTCTTCAGCCTGGGAGCTGAACTGAAGGTGGGTGACGTCCCTGGGCTGGGCCCCCCACCCCAAGGCTGAGCGTGCCGCCACCTCATGAGCCTGTCCTTCCACAGGGCGAGAAGGGGGAGCGTGGGGACGCCGGACCGAAGGGCGAGAGGGGAGCGCCCGGGGCCAGCGGCGGCTTCTTCGGCTCCAGTGTGCCTGGCCCTCCCGGCCCACCAGGGTACCCTGGGATCCCGGTGAGCCTGGCACGGAAGCCCGCCAAGGCCGCACTCTGCAGCCTCCACACCCCCCAGCCTCTGCCCCTGCCGCCCGGGCCCCATGTTCTTCGCCTGTGTGCAGGGCATGCGGTGGCCCGTGGGGCTGGCACAGCCTCCTGGAGTGGCCACACAGCTCCCTACTGGCGTCATCTGCTGCTGTCCTGGTGCCATGGCCCCATCTGTCATCATCCTTACCCATCACGGTCCCCAGCTCTGAGCCATCTGCCCAAGGACTCTGGGGGAGCGGCCCATTGCTGTCCTGAGGGCCCCCAGGGGGCAGGGGATGACGACAGGTTTGCTGTCATCCTAGGGACCCAAGGGAGAGAGCATCCGGGGCCCACCTGGCCCACCTGGCCCTCAGGGACCTCCTGGCATTGGCTATGAGGGGCGCCAGGGCCCCCCTGGGCCTCCAGGGCCCCCCGGACCTCCCTCATTTCCTGGCCCGCACAGGCAGAGTAAGTGTGGGCAGGGAGCGGGCTGGCTGGGCACAGCCTTGCTGCCAGGCTGCCTGTGTGGCTCACCCCATCTTGGTTTCTCTTCTGTAGCTGTCAGCATTCCAGGTCCCCCTGGCCCTCCTGGCCCCCCAGGGCCCCCAGGGACCATGGGCACCTCCTCAGGGGTAAGTGGTCAGGGGGCCACAGGGAGATGGGGCAGGGGGGTCCGGGGAGGAGGACAGCCTGCTGCCGCACAGGTCCTGGTGCTGGTATGCAGGGGCGGCAGCCTAGGAGCCAGGACGGGCTGGGACCCAGGAAGGGTCTCCCCGTGGCCACACGCCCCACCCCCTCGGGGCCCAGGCCCTGCAGCCCCCCTCCCAGGCACAGGCACAAGACCCACACAGCGCGGCCCCACAGGTGAGGGCCTGGGCCACCTACGAGACCATGCTGGAGAAGGTGCGCGAGGTGCCACAGGGCTGGCTCATCTTCGTGGCCGAGGACGAGGAGCTCTACGTCCGCGTCCGAGACGGGGTCCGCAAGGTCCTGGTGAGTTCTCGGCCCACGGCCCCTCCTCACCGCCCCACGAAGATGAGGCAGGCATCTTCCACGCTCGTCTCGCTCCCTAGGTTCTTCACTTCTTAAAAAGTTAGCACCTGTGTTTTGGGCAGTTTTAGGCTCACAAGTGTGTTTCACTCATGGGCTTGCGGGTGGCTCGGTGGGCAGAGCACAGATAAAGGCCACATACCCTGTCCGGAGGAGGCGCTCCTGCAGGACGGGCTCAGGGCCGGGGCTCACCCTGGGGCCTGGCGGGTGGAGGCTGGGTTTGCTTTCCAGTGGTGCATTATGCACACGGTGACCGTCCTGGAGCCCGACGCCTCAGGACGCCCGAGGCTGCCTGCCCTCAGCTCTTCGGGGCTGGGCCTGCAGCCCTGGCTCCTCCCGCCCAGCCTCTGCCCAGAAGGCAATGTCCACCACCCTGCTGCCTTCTCAGAACGAGGGTCCCTGTTCTGATCAGCCAGGACAGACCTCTCCTTGATGTGGCCCACGTGAGGCTGGCAGAGCCAGCCCTGTGCCCCAAATAGCCCATTTTGTCCATGGGGCCTCTGAGGGGTGGAACTGATCTGAACCCACGAGGGCAGAGGGCAGCCCCAACACGGCCCTGTTGGGCTGGGACAGGCTGCACATCACCCCTGCAGTGCCCGCTGTGCACCTGGCACTGGCGCTGGGTAGCATGGCCGAGCCTTCCTGGCCATCGGAGTGCCGTGAAGGGGCCGGTCCTGCGGCTGCCCTCGCTGGCTGGAGTAACCCTGCTGCTTCCTTCCAGCTGGAGGCCCGGATGCCACTCCCTCGAGAGCCGGTGAGGAGGAAACGGACTGCAGGGCTGTTAGAGGCCGGGGCACAGTGGGGGCAGGGAGGTCCGCACTACCCCATTTCCTAAGTGCTTGGTGCTGGGAGTGCGTGACTGCAGTGGTCCCCACCAAGAAAAGCAGTCAGGCCGGGGGTCTCCGCCAGCTATTCACGTGCCCGCCCGTCCCTTTACTGCAGTGTGTTCAGAGGTGGGTGGGCTGAAGGAGGAGACTGGAGTCCGCACTGTGGGCCTGAGGACGCTGTGCAGCCCTCAGGGCCCAGGACCAGCAGCAGGGGGTGGCACGGGGCCGGGAAGCTGTGGTCAGCGAGTACCGTGGTCTGGTGTGGTGGCCCGGCTGGCCACGTGGAGGGTGAGACCCCTCCCCAGCATGGTGGCAGGTAGGGCTCCACTCTGGCGGGACTGCATGCCCTGCACACTCGCTAGACAACCCTGCCCACCAGGGAAAGCCCAGCCCTGCTGGCCAAGGCAGAGGTGGGAGGAGGGACGGGCAGCAGGTGGGTCGTGGGTGCAGGCTCTTCTGTTCATGGCACTGTCCTCCGTGACAGGACAATGAGGTAGCCGCCCTGCAGCCCCCGCTGGTGCAGCTGCATGGGGGTGGCCCATACCCACGGCGGGAGCACTCCTCCACTGCACGGCCCTGGCGGGCAGACGACATCCTGGCCAGCCCCCCACGGCTGCCGAACCCCCAGCCCTACCCTGGAGTTCCACACCACCATGGCGCCTATGTGCATCTCCAGCCCACCAACCCAACCGGCTCCGCAGCCCACCCCCACCATGACTTCCAGCCCGTGGTGAGCACTCCAGGGTGGGCACACGGCCCTTGGTCTTGGGGGGCTGACTGGTCAGGGCTGCCCCTGGTGGGTGTCATCTGGGCCTGGGTGGCCCCCTGGCAGCCAAGTGGCCATCTGTGAATTCAGACACCTTGGAGGCACAGAGATAGCCCCCCGCCAGAGGTGAGGCCAGCGCAGCAGGGGTGGGTGCTGTGCTGCACCCAGAGGACCAGCTGGCCCTGCCGTGCTCTGTGCCGGGTGTCAGGGCCATGTGGGGGCTGTTCCCTGGGCCTGCAGCACCCAGACATCACCTGCCACCTCAGAGCTGTCACCAGCTCCTTCAGCACCTGTCACACTGGCTGGGGGCTGTTGCCTGTGACGTATGCGTGATGGCTGTGTCCCCTCCCCGCAGCTCCACCTGGTGGCGCTCAACAGCCCGCTGCCGGGTGGCATGCGCGGCATCCGTGGGGCCGACTTCCAGTGCTTCCAGCAGGCGCGAGCCGTGGGGCTGAGCGGCACCTTCCGCGCCTTCCTGTCCTCACGGCTGCAGGACCTCTACAGCATTGTGCGGCGTGCAGACCGAGGGGCTGTGCCCATCGTCAACCTCAAGGTGGGCGGCCCAGCCCACGGCACAGTGCTGGGGGTGTCCTTAGACACAGCGGGGCCTGGGCTCGGGCCGGAGATCTGGGCAGGGCTTTGCTCAGGGCCTGGAGGGCACAAGGTTCTGCTGCTGCCCACTCCTGGAGCTGGGCTGAGAGGGTACCAGGCCTGCAGGCAGCCACGCCCTGGAGAGACTGGGCAGGCCTTGTGCTGGGAGTCGCTGCTGTCCCAGGACGTCCTGTAGTCTCCGCGCAGCCCCAGACCCCACCCCTCAGTGCCCTGGGGGCTGTACCCGGCCGTGGGTGCTTCCCGTGGCTCCTGTGCTGCAACCTCGTGGCAGCGCCAGGGCTCCGTGGGACGCTGACCCGCACAGGAGACTGGCCCTCCCGCGCACGGGTCAGGAAACACCCCTTGGGCCGCTGGGCCTGGCGCACTGTGGCTTTCTCCCATGGCTCCTCTTCACCAATTGGGTAAGGGGTTCCCCTTGGGGATTTTTTTGTTTTGGTTTGGTTTTTGAGACCAGACTTTACTATGGAAATCAGGCTGGCCTGGACCTCACAGCCATCCTGGGTGCTGGATTACAGGGGTGCACCACCACCACAGCACCAGTTCCCCCAGAACCAACGACAGGGCACATGCGGGCCTGGCTCCAGGCTGGGCCTGGCACTAGGGTAGAGGAGCCCCCCCATAGCAGCACTAGGGGCCTGGGTCTCTGCCTGGGTCGGGCTCCAGGGCTCCTGGAGCCCATAGGGCTCACCTCTCTGGACGATGTGCACCCCATCTTCTCTCTGCAGGACGAGATGCTGTCTCCTAGCTGGGAGGCCCTGTTCTCAGGTTCCCGGGGCCAGCTGAAGCCTGGGGCCCGCATCTTCTCCTTCGATGGCAGGGACGTCCTGAGGCACTCGGCCTGGTAGGTCCCCTGCATGGACAGGGTGGCAGCTCGGGGAGGGCCGCACACAGAAGGCTGGCCTGGCTTCCCGCGTGCCACTTCCGTCTCTGGACTGACCTGGACTGTCCAGGCTGAGACCTGAAACTATAAAACCCAGGTGTGGCGTGAGGTCTAGCTCTGGGCAGCACTGCGCCTCCTCCCCGTGCGGTCAGGCAGGCTCCCCGTCACCATCTGTGAGGATTTCCCCAGCCCAGCCCAGGAACCTCCGGGGCAGTCCCTGAGCCTGTGTGGCGTTCCCCAAGAGTCCTTGGCTAGAATCCTTGTGCCCTCGTGGCACGGGAGTGGCCAGGCTGCCCTCGGAGCAGCTGTACATGGCATCCTCCCCAGCTCCTACCCCTGGCTTTGAAATGCATCATCTGCCATTCCTGAAAGGAACCCACAAGAGACACCCAGTCCCCACATGAGAGCTGTGGGCAGGGGGGGCTTGTCCCCGGCGCACAGCACCTGATCACAGCCCCAGGGCCGGCTACGGCCCCTTAGGTCTAGGGAGGCTGACGGAGTGCTGTCTTGCAGGCCCCAGAAGACCGTGTGGCATGGCTCTGACCCCAGCGGGCGCCGGCTGACTGAGAGCTACTGTGAGACATGGCGGACAGACGCAGCGGCGGCCACGGGCCAGGCCTCCTCGCTGCTGGCAGGCAGGCTGCTGGAGCAGAACGCTGCGAGCTGCCACAATGCCTACATCGTCCTCTGCATCGAGAACAGTTTCATGACGCCCTCCAAGTAGGGCCCTGCGGCTGGACGGAGGCAGTCTGAGGACAGGCACAGGCAGGGAGCAGCCAGCCGGCCTAGGGCCTGGCAGGATGCCTTTGTGTAGTTCACATTTCATATAATCTCGAGAAATAAAAGGAAGCCAAAGAGTGTATTTTTTTAAAAGTTTAGAGCAGCCTGATGCCTGGATGTCCCTGCTCCTGCCCTCCGCACCATGCTGGCCAGCGGTGACATGGCACTGGCCTCTGCCTGAGCCACATCCGACCACAGCAAAAGGCTGGACTTCAGCAAAGGTGTGCGGCAGGACACGGCTGAGACTAGCATGCGCCTTGGCAGGCAGGCTCCTGTGGGAAGGGCCTGGCACCCTGGCAGGTGTGCAGTTTCCTGCCCGGTCCCTCTACCCACAGAGACACCAGCCATGGGAGGTGCTGGAGGCCGAGCCCAGTCAGCACGGAGCCCCTGGCTGCCGTTGCCAGCTGCTGGCTGTGCCAGGCGCACGTTCGCCCACAGGGAGACTGGCCACACACCGGGCTGGGGCAGACCCCCGCCCTGGCCTCCCCTGCTGCAGGGACCCCGTGCCCCACAGGTGCAGGCTCCAGCTCAGTGCTCACCACCGTGCCAGGCTGTGACCAGGGACACGGTGAGGCCTGCTATGGCCTGCCCACTGCCTGTCCACTGCTTGTCCCTCCAGCCTGCCTGGGTGTAGAGGCCTTGTCAGGCCTTTCCTCAGGCTTGTATCTCAGGTGACCCCAAGACCAGGCCAGGGCAGAGTGTGACCCTGCTGTCTGAGGAGGAGAGGTCTGTGGGTGACGAGACAGGCCACGGCAGCGTCCTGTCCCCAGCCCTTTGGCCTGCAAGTACAGAAGCCCAGAGCATCTGTGCCGCAAGGGCTGTGTGCTCGGCCACGCTGGGCTGACCACGGCCGCTACCCCACCATGCCCCCAGCCTCGGGATCTGGGATCTGTGGTCTGAGGACTGGGTCAAACCAGTGGGGCTGGTTCTGTAACTGTGGTGTGGGCCGTTTCAAAAGGACACAAATAAAAGCCTTTTACACAGACAGTTTGTGAACAGCTCTCCCTGTCACCAAAGGGCAAATCATCCACTGCAAGCCCTTGGGAACTCTTCATCCCTGGATTTCCTATCTGATGATCTAAGGAAGCATGGTGTATGTGGATGCACATGGGTGTGTGTGTGCAGGATACGCTCACGCAGGTATGGCGGGTGTACACAGGTGTGCAGATACACCCATGCATGTGTGTGGAGATGCGTGAGTGTATATGGATGCACAGGGTGCGTGTGGCCAGAGATGTGTAGCATGCAGATGTGCCGCAGAGGTGCAGGTTCTTGGCATCTGCCCTTCTGGAGGGTTTCCCTGGTGGCTGTCCTCACTTGCTGGCAGGCAGTGTGCCACACAGCTTAGGGCCTGGCTGAGGCCCGAGCGTGCCACCTGCCCTGGTGGTGGCAGAGGGCTCAAGGCAGCAAGGCTGTGGAGCCGCCACAGGCCGCTGACGGAAGGTTTCACGAGAGCGCAGGGGCCGCCCTGGTACAGACGCCAGCAGTGCCGCACATGGCCACATTGTGGTCACAGGCTGACAGCTGTGTCGTGGCCTAGTGTGGTAATGGGTGGCCAGACCAGCAAGGGCAGTGTTGCCCCCTTCCCAACAGGACTGCAGGTGGCTGTGCCTTCCTCATGCAGCCTCAACAGAGACCCAAGATGCCCACCACCCGCACTGACGCTGCAGTCCTTCCCCAGCCAGGAGTTCTGGTCACTTTGTGCCAAACCAGCTCTGAGCAGGCGGCCTTCTCTCTTGGGGCCAGCAGGGCTAGGTCGGCCCAAGGGAAGAGGGACCACGTTCCTGGCCAACCAACTGTATGTAGCCTGGCCCCTGCTGACCAGGCCTGGTGGCTGAAATCGGAGCCCATCCAACACACAGGTTCATGGTGTTTAATTAACGTGTCTGAGAAAAGCATTCAACACAGAGAGGAATGCACAGGACTCGCTGCTGAATACACACACTAGGAAGACACCCACCCCAAGGCCCTGTACTCCAGGCAAGCCCAGCTTGCGGGAGGCTGTGCCCTTGGTCCCCATGAGCTGCACGCTCCTCTCTGAAAGAGGGCAGGACCAGCCCAGGGCAAGAGCAGGAGTCACATTGAAGGGATCAGGCCAGCGACCTGGAGCTTCTCCCTGCCCCTGCCAGGCAGCTTCTCGCACACAATGGAGGGGCCACACAGACCAGCATCATCCACGTATGCAAGCACCTAAGACAAGCAGAAGAGTCACTGTTCAGCCACAGCCTCCGAGCGGCTCCCACCCGCTCTGGAGGCCCAGGACCCTGAGGACAGTTTAGAATTGTCACAGTTTAGCCAGGCCCTAGGGAAGGGCCCCCCCAAGCCTAGGACTTGGGGACAGTGATCCCCACCTCACCATCCCTGGAGCCAGACTGGCTCCCCCCTCCCTCAGGGTGAAGGCAGAGGCCTGGTGGACATGGGAGATGCTACCCCTCCCGGCAAACAGGCAGCCTAGGCCCACTGCGTGTGTGGGGTCCATCGGCCAGTTGACCCGAGTATCCCCAGCAGGCTCCAGCCACCGCTGAGTGTGATGCAGGGCCAAGGGGGCTTGACAGCTGCCAGCAGCAAAGGCCCCTAGGCAAAGACAGGTGCGCCCTTGGCTTGGGTCCCTGTAGGACCACAGAGAGTCATGTGTCACAGTTCGCGTCCTCAGTGCCGGGGTACTGACGACCTGGCTGGACACGGGCCCGGGTCTCCAGCCAGGACTGGGTCAGGATGGCAAATGGGAGGCGCTGCCTCTGCTTGGGAGTCATTCCACCTGCCGGGCTGAGGCAGAAGAGGCTGGCGGTCAGGCCTTGGCCCCTGCCCCTGTGGGCCCCATGCCATCCTCCACGTTGTCCTCCACGCAGTCCTCTGGGGGCAGCGGCGGAGCTCCATCCTGCACACTCAGCACCGGCACAGCCTTCTCTGAGGGGCTTTGCAACTCCTGGACCACGGGCAGGGGCTGGTGGTGGCTCTGTTGGAAGTGATGCAGGACATCCAGCAGTGCTCCCAGGAAGTAGATGACAGACAGCACCAGGAAGTACACGGAGTAGACTTGGAACTGGGACAGAGACGTGCAGGTGAGCAAGGCCAGAGGAGGGGGGGAGGGGCTCAGGTGGCCGCACCCACAACTCCCCCAGTCCAGGACTCCACCACCCACCCCACCCCAGCCCCACCAAGCACTGCATAGGGTCACAGGCCCTGGGTACAGCACCTGTGCCCCTCCTGCCTTCCAGGGAGCCCTGGCATGTGTCCTAACCTGGATGGTCCCAGCTCCATCTCTGTGGGGCTACATTCCTTTAGGAGGCCCCTCAGCCCATATCTCAGGATGCCAGACCTTTCTGGTCAGAGCCTGGCAGAGGGCACACCAGGCAGCCTGCAAGGAGCTGCATACCGACTGGGGGCAGCCAGCCCAGCTGGGGACGACTCTCCTTGTCCCAGGGGTGCCCAGGGCAGGAAGGGCTAAGCCATCTCTGGACACAGGGAGGACTGAATTAAGTCACAGGTACCACAGAGCCCAGCAGGCAGAGTGGCCTTGTGCCAGGAGGGGCCCCCACCGCCCCTTGCCACCAGTGACCTTCCAGAGACCTCCTTCTGGAGCCACCTCCAAGGAAGAGCCTCCCAGACCTTCTTTCCCATAGCAGTGGGGATGGGGTGACTCCTGGCTCTTCCCCAGCGCGAACCAAACCTCAGGACACTGCAAGTCATGGTGGATACGAGGCCTCAGGACCCCAGGGGCACATGGCAAGCTCCACAGGGTTTTCCTTTTTGAAACCAAAGAAGCCAGCAGTCGAGATGCTGCCAGATGGGAAAAGTCCAACACAGCATGCTGGACAGAGAACCAGGACAGGTGGCCCTCAGACAAGGAGGGTCTGCTCCAGCCAAGCCCACCCCATGCCCTGGGCTGGCAGAAAACCCTGGCATCCCCACCTGGCAGGGCAGAGAGTCGCTTCCCTCCCGTGGGGTGATAACAAACCCACCCCCACTCACCAACTCGGCAGAGACTGCGAGGGGTGGCTGGGATTCTCCCACATACACAGGTGTTAGGGAGACCAGGGGTCTGGACTTTGGGCCCATCAGCAGTAAGGACAATGTCCCACCCCAACAGCATCCAGGAGGGGGGGGCGCTGGCGCTGTAACTCCTACCCCGCCCAGCCATGTGTCACCTGGACCAGAGGGACCTGCTTCCCGCGTGCCCAGCTGTAATGAGGCACAACCATCCCCCTTCAAGGCTGCAGCAGGGTCAGGAGATGGCTCGAGTGTGGACTAGACTCTCACACTAAAGGCTCCTTAACCCCAAAATGGAAACAACAGCTGTTCCAAACACAGACAGGCTCAAAGCAGCCACTACAAGGTGCAGTAGCAAGCACGCAGGGAAGAAGCAGAAACACGCACGCTCTCCACGAGGGTTAGACAGTTTCCTAAGTTATTATGTCTGATAATTAAAGCAAAATTATGTGGCTCTCGAGGTGAGTGGGGGAAACAGCAGGACAATCACACGACAGCACGAGTGCGGTGCTGGAGGGAAAGGCGGTTTTCACACTTCTCTCCCACTGGCAGCGTCCTGTGGGGCGGCCACCAGAAGGCCGCACTGAGAAATACAGGACAAACCCGAAGTCCCACAGAATATGCAAGTAACCGAGCGGAAAAGTGAAGAGACATCAGAAACTAAAAACAGACCAAGCAAACACGAAAACTGAAAAGGCAGGCCCAGCCCTAACATAAGGCTGTAAAATGGTCCACACGCCAAGTTAAGGCAGAGGTCGGTGGAATGGGTGAAAAGCAGGAATCAGCGACCACAAACCCACTCGAAAACCTGCAGACAGCAGGCTGCACCAGGACAGCAGGGGCGAGGGGACGCCAGGGAAGGCAGGGAAGGCAGGCGACAGAGGGGCACGAGGACAGAGACGTGCACGGTAAAGGTGCAGGCCAGTCCAGCAAGATGCGCGCACACACGCAAACAAACGTGCATGGAGCACACGCGTGAGACGAGTCCCCAGGCCGTGCTGACCAGCACCTCTGAGGCCCCGAAGTGTCAACAGAGCACAAAGACCACATCCCCGGCCCCGCACAACTTGGGCTCCAGGACAAAGCCCTCCTCCAGGCCAGCAGAGGGTGCTGTCTAGCCACAGGCTGGGGAGTCAGGAGCAGCCCAGTCACCATCCCTTCCAGGTGTCTATGCCTGGCTAACTCCAGCTGGCTCAGAGACCTCACTGTGCAGGACACCAGGAGATAAGGTGTGAGTGTCCCCACATGACTCGGTGGTCAAGAGTTCCTAAATTCTTCTTGGAAACACCAGAACACTTGCCTAGGGTGGGTTAGGGACCCCCACCCGCGGCCAGCTCCCTGAGGCAGAGCTTTTGGGCTCTACTTGGCTTCCTCCCTGCAGACACTCCTGTCCCCCAACCAGGGCTCAAGGCCATCTGGCCCTAAAAACCACAGGCAGAGATGACAGAGAGAGGGCAGGGCTGTGACAACACAGGCCTGGTGACAGGCCAGTTCAGGGCCACACAGCTCGGGCGCCCCTCCACCGCCCCCCCCCCCCGACTGGCACCCAGGCCCACCCTGGAGGTCTGGGGTCTCACTGGAGAGGGAATAACCTAGGCTGAGCAGTGGGCAGCGCAGATGGGCACCTGGGTGGGCAGAGGCTCTCATCCTAAATAGACCTGGGGCTCTGGAGGCGGCCCCAGGTGAGACCCCACCAGGCCCACCTACAGTCCCACTCCAACATGGCCCCACCAGCCATGGAGATATGGTCTGGGCCCCTGAGGGGGTCCAAGTGGACACCAGAAGCTCTGCCTGGATGGCAGGATGCTTCCCTCCAAAAGCCGCCAGACCTGGGCTCACCTGCCTCTGGACTTTGAGGGACAGGCCTCGCTTGTCGGAGACCACCAGTGTGATGAAGGTCTTGAGAACAGTGGCCAGGAATGTGTTGATCCCAAAGACCAGCGCACACAGCTCTTTAGACAGGGAAGATGCAATCCGGAAACTGGGGAGACCAAGCGGTGATCAGACTCGCTGGGGTGGTGACAGGTGCCAGGGCCTGCTGGACGGGGAGGCTGGGGCGCACGCTGCACACCTGCACAGGCTCCAGCTGTGCACCCTGGTAGGGACCTGCTGGGCAGCAGGCGGCCTCGCCCTGCCCCCAGCACACTGCGCAGCTCAGGCAGGCCTCTCCCCAGGCACATAGCTCCCCCCACCACAGGCCCTCAGCCTGCTCTCGGCCACTCCCCTCCCTGCAGCATCTTCCAGAATGGGTGCTACAAGTGAGGAAGACGCCTGGAGGGCCTGCTAGAGTGCTCTGGAAATCCTCATCTCAGCAGGCTGCCCGCAGGGAAGGGTGGGATGAGTCAGTCATGCTGAATGCGCAGTGCAGGAGTGCAGAGGGTGCAGGGCGGGGACTCATCACAGAGGCACAGGCACATGGACCGATGGACAGAGCCAGGCCCTGGACACTGGGCCAGGTCCAGGCTTCCCACACCAGGGACAGCATGGGTAGAATGCAGGACAGAGAAGTACAGGCACTGGACAGTCCAGCAAGGCATGGAGGCTGGGCCACACCCAGGGAGGGGATGATTCCAGAGGTCAGAAGCAGGAGGCTGGATGAGGAGGTGGGCAAAGTCCTCTGGGAGGAAAGGGAGTGGGACCCAGGGGAGACGCACACCTGTGCAGTGAGTCTGTGTGCATACGTGGTGGATATGCACGTAATATGTGGCTCTACATGTTGTCTGTGGTGTGTGCAGGTGCTTACATTGGGGTGTGTGCACACACGTTTGTGCATGTGTGCATGTATTGTACTGTGAGCATGTGTACGGTGTCTGCCTGTGTGTACTATGGTATGCGTGCATGTATAACCACGTAGCATACGTGTGTAGTGTATACTTGCTGCCTGTGTGGTGCAGGTGCATGTGTACGTACTGTGCAGTGTATGTGTATATGTGTGGTACATGCATGTATATATGTACTATGGTATGTGCATGTGTGAACAGCGGTGCGTATGGGTCATATGCCGAGGCCCAGGCAGTGTGCTAGGAACAGAGGCAAGGGTGCCCAGCAAAGACGGCCTCCTGTGAACCCACCCACGCAGCCCACTCACACCCTGCTTCCCACACACCCTTCTGGAAGTGCCTCCCATCCCACCCCTCCACTCACGTGGCAATGGGCACGAGGAACTGATAGGCTCCACGGAAGACCACGAAGGCAGCATAGCAAAGCCAGATGTTGGTGGTGAAGTACATGAGGAAGACCAGCCCGGCCTGGACAGCAGTCACCGCTGCGATGACCAGCTTCGACCACAGGGCCCAGCGGATCTTCAGGAAGCCCGCGGCGAAAGACGTGATGGCGCCTGGGAACAGGGTGCGTCAGGGTGGCTGGGACGGGAGGCTGCAGCAGGGCAGGGCAGCCCAGGCTGGCGCCCAGGGCGTGGGAGGGGTCAAGCTGGCTGCACCGTACCCAGCAGCGTGGAGGCAGCATCAGCTGCACCGTTGTAGACATGGGTGCTGTCAGTAGTGGGGTACACTGTGTTCCACAAGATGTGCACGTAGTAGACGATCAAGTAGTAGCCAGCCGAGTTGAAGATCCACCAGAGGCACCAGAGGCGCAGCTGCGGCAGCCGCAGGTTGGCCATCAGCTCGCACAGCATACGCACCAGGAAGTGGTCCCTGCAGGTGTGCAGCATGCGCCCCAGCCTCCCACGGGGCTCCGGCTGGCCCACACAGGGCTCTGTCTGGTCCAGCTCACAGGGCGAGGCCCCCCTGACAGGCACGCTGCGGTTGAAGAAGAGGCTGCGCTTGGGGCGCTTCAGGAAGAGAGCCAGGCCCAGGCTGAAGATGAGGAAGCCCAGGGAGATGTAGTTGAGCACAGAGAAGGACACGCGGCCCACTGTGACCAGCAGCTGGCCCAGCACCGAGCTGGTGAAGACCCCCAGCAGCACTGCGGTCCGGGAGTAGCTGGCCATGCGCTGGTAGCGGGCAGGGGACACCAGTGAGAAGATGTAGGAGGAGTAGGCGATGCGGGCGGCCATGGTAACGCTGTAGAAGGCCTCCATGAGCTGCATGTGCAGCACCGAGCTGCCGAAGAGCAGCAGCAGCCACACGCACACATAGCTCAGGCCCTGCAGCACCAGCACCGGCTTGTAGCGCAGGTAGTCAGTGATCAGGAAGATGGGCACCAGCACCACCAGGTAAGAGTAGGTCAGCACCGGCATGATCTCGTTGGTTGCCTGTAGACAGGGGTGCCCAGCGTTAGCAACAACGGCCACTCTGAGTCCCTGTACCTAGCCTCGGGGGCTGACCTGCCCCAGTGTCTGCAATCTCAGCTGATCGCTCTGCAAACCTACCGCCTCTCTGCCGTACCGTGCGGGTCCTGTGACCTCCCCTCCACTCTCCGACCGCATCATCAGCCCACCCAGGATGTCAGGGGACCCGGCAACGACCCCCCCCAGTCAGGAAAAAGAACCGACTGCCCACAGAAAGCCAACAGTTACGCAGGGAAACCGTGCAGCTCAGATCACGCTAGCCTAGGCTCTCTTATTCGTACTGGACTAGATTTGGTTTGACTCTGTCCTGATCTAACAGAGTGGGTGACAGTACCATGGCCTGAAGACACCAGTACAAGCCAGCTCTGTCCTTTAGGAAGAAAGGAAGCACCAAGGCACAGGAAAAGGGAGGGGAGGAGGAGCACGCAGGACAGGCCATTCCCTCCGAGGAGGGAAACCAAGAGCAAAGGAGGGTAGAGCAGTAAGAAAGGCTGGAGAGCCACAGCGCTGCAGTCCCACCAAGTCCCCAGGGGACAGGAAGTGGCTGAGGCCTTGCCGCCAGTTACGATGCCTGCTGGGGGAGAAGGGGTGAAGGAGGCCATCACCCTGCTCCACCCTACCCTACCTGGCAGAACTAGGGAGAAGCGTCCACGGAAACTGAACCCCACAGCCCTGCCTGGAGAACCCACAGTCCTACTTCACTGCCCAAACATCGAGGGACCAGGCCCGAGCCCCAGGACAGCACACAGGGGCCTGTGCCTGGCCATGCCCTGTCCCCAGGCCTGGGATGTGCTGCTGGCATCCGTGGGGGCCCGCTGCAGGACCCCATAGCAGGCTCAGCAGCCTGAGGATCAGCAGGTGAAGTCCCCACCAGCCTCAGGGAGACTGCCACAAGACCCCACACAGAGCAGCAGGTCTCACCTGCCTGGGGGCTCCTCCTGAACCTGCACCCCACAGAGCAGCCCCAGAAGGTAGAGCCCTAAGGCTCTGAGGTCCTCAGTCTCTGCCCCTCTCACACAGGGACATTCCAGGGCATTTTCAGGGCACGCCAGGCCCCAGAATGCTGAGTGACCTGGTAGGGCCCAGCTGCAGGCGGCTGCGTCATTGTTGATGGTGAAATCCTGAGGACACCAAAGGACTAACTGCTGCCCGGCCAGACTGTCAGACAGGATGTGGAAAGGAACAGCTTGGGTGTGCAAGCCCAGCAGCGCCTCAGGGACCACGGTGACAGCACCACCGGCTAGCACGCAGACCAGGTCTAAGTCCTGGCAAAGCGGAAGACCAGGTGACAGAGGGTTAGGCTGCACCCTGTCTGAGTTTATGGACACCTGCCCTACCCATCTGCTCTCCAAGCCAAGGCTGGGCAGAGGCCCGGGCCCCTCTGGGTGCTGCTCTAGCTCCTGCTGCAGAGTTCTGCTTACCAGATGCAGGGTCTGGGTGTACCCTCAACCCTCAACCCTGCAACCCGCTCTACTGCCCCCAGACTTGGCCAGTGGACAACGACAGGCCCTGCCCTGGGCTGTGACCTGGGCCCCCAGGAAAGCTGCTGGGGGAAGGCCACTCACAAAGGTCTCATGGGTGCAGGTATCAGAGAGCCCAGGGCTGACACAGGATGCCCTCCTAATGGATGGACCCAGTACTGCCAGGCTGTCCCCCAGGCCTAGAGTGGAAAGGGTAGTACAGAGAGGAACCTGATCTGGACCTGGCAGGGGCAGGACCTGGGTAGCCACAACCTGCAAGGAGGACCAGGCATAGGGTCAGCAGAAGGGACAGCATCACAGGAAATGGCTCCTGATGTGACGTGAACACTCCTGTACCTCACCCTGAGAGATCCTAGAATACTCCCTACACTCTATAACTGAGGTCCTAGAACACCCACCCTGTTCCATAACTGAGGATCCCAGAACAGTCACTCACCCCATCCCTGAGGATCACCTGAAGATTCTAGAACATTCCCTGCACCCACCCGTGAACACTAACAATTACTGAATTGTCCTTGGACTGACGAGAGGCTGGCAGCCACCTGCTTACCTCACTGCGGAACACGAAAGCAATGCTTCGTGTCCTATGGCCAATCACAGGTGAGCTCCAAGACCAGCCCTGATCCTACGTACACGAATCTTCCACATCAAAGGACATGAAGGCGGATCCTAGAAGCTGTCACTTGAGACACCACTGATGTTCCCTCTTGACTGAGGCCCAGAAAGGACAGAGTTACCCAGTATCACCAGAGGGCTGAGGCCAGAGGACTTGACCACGGAGCCATGGGACTAGTGACCATCTCTCCAAAGATGGCCAGGCCTAGTAAGGGGTTAACCTCTGCAGTCGACTTTTTGCTTTTGTGCAGTTCTAAGAATTTTACACTGAATTTTTTTTAAATTTTGCACAAAATTTTTAAAATTTTGAGACAGAGTCTAGCTAAGTTGCCCATGCTGGGCTCAAACGTACTGCCCTCCTCGCCTTACCCTCCCAGAGTGCTAGGATAACAGACCACAACTGGCTCAGAATCTACTTTTACCCATTAATGTCCAACAAGAGGACAAGAAGATAGGATTTCTAACATTTCTGTGATAGTTGTCCCATGTTAAGAGGCTTCACACACATGCTGGTACCTGGACAGGCCCCTGGGTGAGGGCAGAGACGCCACTGGGAATGCAGGAGCAGAGGTGAGGACGCCGTCACTCTCTCCTTGCGTGGTCATGTTTTTACAAAGCACACAACTGAAGTTCAAGACAGAACACACCAGGTTCGGGCCTCGTGTCTGAGCTTAAGCTTATTAGTAGGATTTCAATAGGACCCTCTGTCCTGTGGCTGAGTAAAAGGAAAATTCCTTCACTAATCTCTTTTCACAAAGAGCCGCTCAGTTCCTGCTGGAGGTAGGTATCCAGCAGGCTGAACACAGTTGGCTGAGGCTTTTCCCCTGGGAGGGCAGAGTGGCCAGCCTGTGGGCACCAACTCCTCTGCCCCCAACCCCAGCCTGAAGCAGACAGGGGCTCCCTCCACAGGATCCACGGCGCTTTAATCCGGCTGCTGTGGGGTGTGACTCTTGACCTCCTGCAGCCACTTACCTGCCCAGCCTCAGCTGTTCAAGGCCCAGCATGAGAGAAGCCCCACCCTCCAACACTGCCTGCCCCCAGCACACCGTGTCCACGTGCCTGCTCTTTGGTGAAGTCCTTGCAGGGCCCCAGGAGGTAGGGAGTGATGAAGCTCTCCCCAGGCCGCATCTGTGCCATGAAGCCATAGAAGCAGAGGAAGAACACCAGGCAGCGCCAGGCCTTGTGCTCCAGGCCGGGCCGGGGCTCCTCCTCAGGCACCTGCTTCTCCTCGGCCTGGCCGGAGGGCATTGTTCCACCCAGGCTCACAGAGGATCCTGGAGGAGACCAAAGGTGACCTCTACCTGGAAGGAAGAGCTGAGCGTCAGAGGAGTATGACACAAGGCCCCCAGCACCCTTCCTTCCCACGGGGCTCCTCCCACTGCTTATTCAGCTTGGACACTGACCAGAGCCCTGAGCTGTCCTGTTGGGAGCCGCTGCAGCTGGAAATTGGTCACATGCGTGAGGGCAGGACAGAGCCAGAGTGCCTCAAGCAGTCAAGATACCTCCATCTTGAGAAAGACATCCTGCCTGGACAATTACAGTCATTAGTTGCTAGGCAACATTACCTCTCAGGATACTAACTTTGCAAGAGTATAAAATAAACCCCCCTACTGGTAAAATTAGGTCCTTTTGCCTGTCAAGTAAAAGGTCACTCCACCTTACCCCAGCTATTGTCTCTTGTCTTTATTTTCCTCATATCCACCACTTCTCTCCAGGGTACCACAGACCAACGAGGTTCCCTACATTTGGTGCCCAAACAGGGACACCCGGTGAAAGTGTACCCGGCAGCAGGTACACTTCCCAAGAGTGCGCAACAGTGTCCCTGACCAGTCCTTATCACCAACCTGAGACTCACCTACACCCAGAAGTCAAGTCTCACAGCAGGCTGGCACTGCCTCCCGGTCTCCAGGGCAGACAGGAGCCTCCAGCCCTGAGCCAAGCCCATAGCAGTTATTTAAAGGGTGATTAAAGCCAACTTAACGAACTAACTTACTGACTTTATTAACTACATTAATAATGTTTAAAATTCATGTCTGGAGGTACAGCACTCATTCCGTGTCCCTGATGCTGTGTGGCCATGTTCCCTTCCTCTCCCTGACCGTCTGGGGGATGGAGTCTCTGGCTGCAGACCAGACACGTCCCATGCAAGCTGCTGTCCTAGCAGCACCCAAGGGCCAGAGAGGGGACAAGAGGGATGGTGTGCACCTGACATATGGCGTAGGCCAGAGGACCTGGGGGTAGATTCTCCATGGGCTGGGGACGGGCAGAGGCCACTGGGGAGCGAGGCAGGGAAGGTATCCACTAGGGGCTGAGGGTAGCTATGGGTCAAAACAAAGTGTAAAGAGGGACAGCGGACAGAGCTCAAGGTCCGTGTCCAGGAACAGCCCAAAACCTGCATCGGGAGACAGATGTGACCTTCTGGGTGGAGCTCCCCAGATGACGGCCATCCAGCCTGCTTTCCCTAGGGTAGGCTGGCCTCCCAACACACAAGCCTGAGGCACTCTGGGAGCAGAGTAGGTGATGTGAGGGTTTTGCTCAGTCCTGTCTTCCAGGTCTGTCAGGGACAGAGGCTCCATCCATCTGGTACTGTGAGAACGTGCCCCACGCACTGCCCACTGTCCTGCCTAACAAGGCAGGGCGACACCCATCTGCCTACCAGCTCACTAGGGCCTAATTTTATTTCCCCACCTGCTACCAGTTTCCTTGTAGCTAAAACGTGAGCTGCCAGGAGCCAGGGTCCCTGGCAGGGCCCACTCACAGCAACCAGGAAGCCAGCCTCCCACTCTCTGGGACAGGGCCTTGCTAACGGCCTCACAGTGCCCTCCTCCCAAAGGCTGGGCATGGCTCGGCTGTGTCACATGTGGCTAAGGCAGGGTGGGGACATGCTGGGTACAGAGGTGACCTGTCCTCCTGGGCTGGCTCACAGGTGCCTGGACAACTCTTCCCCCATCACTGCTAAGGGAGGGTGTGTGCAGAAGGCCTGGAAGCAGGGAGAATCCCCTCCGACCCTTAGGCAGGGGCACAGAAAGCTCCACTTGTGACAGACCAGTTCTGGGGGCCCAAAGGCCAGTACTTGGACCCTGGCTGAGAGCTCTCAGGCTGGAGATGCTCTCTCCCCACAAGGGACATAGAGACCCCGGAAAGCAAGGGGGCCTGTGGGGACCCCTGGTGGGCAGGCATGCGGATGTTGGGGTTGCCCAGCACCCCATCCTCTCGGTCCCAGCAGATTCCTTTCTGTGAGAATGGAGAAAGTGGGGTCACAGCAGGGCCCATGTGTTTGTGTGTGGGGTCTGCTGGGAATTCGAGCAGCTGTAGAATTCCAGAGCCCCAGCAGGGGGGACAGGGTCATACACAGCAGCAACAGTGACCTCGGAAGTCACAGGGCCTGGGACAGGGCCCACATCCTCAGAGGGCTAGAATGAAAGTGACCAGCTAGGCGGGTCCTGGCCGCCCCCTGAGCACCAGGGAGGAGACACAGGCGCAGGACAGGCTGCTTCAGGTGAACAAACTCTGAGCTGCTTTTCTTGGCTGTGCTCTTCCCGACCTCCCTGGGAGCGACTGACACAGCTGCGAAGGGCTGAGCGCCAGGGAGGCTCAGGCCCAGCCCTCCACAGCGACCCTGCGCGGAAGCCGGGGCAGGCCAGGCAGGGCAGCACCTGCATCCAGCCCACTGCCACACAGTGGCACCCACCCACCTAACTGGCCCTGCCGGTCCCTGTGCCCAGGCCACAGGCTCAGAGACCCAGGGCTCAGGCCCTGCTGCAAAGGTGCCGCCCCTGCCAGAGGACACTCCCTACTCGGCGTCACTCAGATGCAGGCTTCTGACGGAAGCTCCCAGGTGCCAGCGCAGTGCTCCACAGCCTCACTGACCCCTGGGCACTTCTTAGGCTGCTGTGGGACTCATCAGGCAGCTACCCCCGTCTGTCTGAAGCTCAGGGTGCAGCCCAGGACCTACGCTTCAGTATGTCCCGTAGGAAAGCCGGAGCGGGGAGCCCACCACTGCAGGAGGAGCCCTCTCAGGACTGAGATGCCATGGACATCCACAGTTACAGACCTGGCACAGCAGCCCCCCACCAGTGTTCAAAGGGGTCCCAGAAGTGGACAGCCCGGCTCGTCTTCCAGGACTATGACGCACATAAGGGAGAGTTTGACTCCCCAGAAGAGATCCACAAGTAAGGAGCCACCTCAGCTGATGTTCAGTGACCTGTAACACACACGGGATTGGCCAGGGAAGGGGGCAAGCCCAGCCAAAGCGCTTGTTGGGTAGAACCCCAAAGCTGCCTCTCGCAAGCTCCATCCCATCCCTCCCAACCTAGGGTCAGGTGCTCCAGCCCCCCTTGCCATTTGGGGACACTGCCACATCCGAATGGGGACACCCTAATGCTGGTGAAGAGGCCCAAGAGACTGGCCAAACCTCCGGAGGCCCCTGCTCTCTGAACACATGATGACCATGGGGCCGGGCATGTCCCCACAGGGTGGGCTCTGTGACATGTTCCTCTGTCCTCCTCCTGGGACAGTGCTCCAAATCTGCAGCCTCTTAGCTAGCGGTCTCCCCACTAGGCATGGTGACTTCCGCCTGGACTGTCTCCATAAACACATGCTCAGAGTAACCCAGCTGTCCCCAGGGGATCAGCTTCCTGGCAGGGGTTCCCAGAAGAATGTTCAGTATGCCTCAGAACTCAGCCTCCCTTTCTACTCCCCACCCAGCTGCAGGGGCCTCTGGCTCCCCTCCCGATGGGAGCCGGGAGGCCCAGGCAGCTTTGGACAAAGGTGGCTCTGGACAAAGGTCTGTCCTAAGAGGACCTTTACTTCCACAGGCTGGCCAGCAAGGGCAAGCAAAAGAAAGTGGGAAGTAGCAGCAGTTGCCAGCCCCGGGCTCCCTGGAGACAGCCAGTTTCATTCTGATTTAGGCATTTTCCTGGGAGCTATAAAGACCTTCCCTTTCATGAGGGCAAGCCCCCCCAACTCCTGGGGTGGGGGCACAGCCCTGGACCACCCACTTAACCTGAGCCTAGATTTGCTACACAGCACATGACAGGGCAGTGTGGGTACCACCCGTGCACATGGCCAAAAACTTCTAGTCCAGGTCTGGAGCTGCCAACTCCAGTGCCCACAGGGCAGAGGACAGAATAACTGGGCAGTGAGCTAGGACAGGCCACAGGCTGTGGGAGGAACTTGACCACGGCCCATGAGTCCTGGCTACCACACAGGGACAAGGCCAAAAGTCCAGGGTCTTATTCAAAAATCCGTTTTTCACACTGGTCCCTGATGGAGAAAGTGTTGAACACTGCAGGTCTGAACTCAAGTTTACATGCACAGCCTTTCAGAGCCCAGGGCAGGGCAGCCTGTTTCTCAGCTCCTCTCTGGGCCACTTGTGCAGGCACTCAGGGCCAGCCAGGGCCTCCACGGTCCATTTTTCATCCAATCAAGTCTGCATCGCCTGAGGTAACCACAATGTCACTCTCACACAGTCCGGCCACCCGGCTGAGGCTCAATCCCTCCCTCTCCACAGCACAGCTGCCCGCTGTCCTTGCGATGCAGACTGGCTCGGAGAGGGAAGACTGGGATCCCTGCGAGGTGCTTGCAGTTGCAGAAACAGCACAGATGCCAACAAGTAGGTGGCAGGCAGGGCTGGGCTGGGCTGTGTAAGTTCCAGCCTCTTCCCAGCAATTTAAGGAAGCCCCGCGCCAACCAGGGAGTCATGAAGGAGGGGCCCATTGATCCTCTTGACCACCCCTAGCACTTGTTCTTAGGGCAGTGTGGAGCACTGGTGCATCCCCCAAACAAGCCCAAGATCAAAAAAAAAAAAAAAAAAAGGAAACATTCCTCTATTTTAAACCAGCTGCACTCTCAAAACAGACCAGGCTGCTCCTTACATTTTTAGAACAGCTGCCAGTTAAAAATGGAAAAGAAAAAGGCACTGCACCTCTCTCAAAGCTGCAGGTGAGCATCTGAAGCCCTCTGGGTATGAATGCCGCAGGCCCAAACACCTGGAATGAATGACTCCATTTTCAGCTGGCCCAGCACAGAGAGCCACATCTGGGGTAAAGGTCCCAGGCAAAGGCAGCAGCTACCTGCAGGGGCATCTGCTCGGGGCATGGAGAAGGCAGGGGCTACACTGGGCCAGAGGGTCTCGCATTGGCTGAGCCAATCAGGGCTGGAGGGGGCTCCTCAAGTTTCCCCGGGGTGAGGTCACTTCTGCACACGATGGCCAGCAAGCAGCACTGAGGACTCTACCCCATCCTCACTATGGGAAGCTGCATTCTGGAATTCCACTGCGCCCCGGGGCCAGGCAGTGGCAGAGCAGACACAGGCAGGGTGAGGAGCACCGTGAAGATGTGGTGTGTGGCTGGGCCGCCGGCCAGGCTCCCCAGGAGCTCCCAGATGCGGATGCGGACAAGCCCTGGGGTTGGTTTCCTGAGCTACAGACCTTGGAAGACCACTCAGGAACGACTAGACCAGCCGGCCACTGTCCAGGCCGGACACACCTCTGGTCTGCAGGAGCAGGGCCAAGCGCTGCTCCGAGGGGAAGCTGTTCGAGCTGTCCGGCGTCTACAAGCTCCGGCCCCACAATGGGGCGCACCAGCCCAGGTGGGCGGGGGCTCCCCCGGCTCACAGCACGTGGGGAGGCGGCAGGGCGGGCAGGCGGCAGAGCCGGTCCACGCGGTTCCTCCGCCGGCAAGGGCCGCGGCGGGAAAGGGCCTCAACCGAGAGGTCGGGACTGGGGCAGCGGCGCCGGAAGCCGCAGAAGGGAACTCGCGGCGATCGTGCCGCTCCGAGCCCTCGGCACGGTGTGCCTGCTCAGCGCGCCGCGGACCCCGGCCCGCACTCGCTCTGGGACCCCGGCACCCGGCCCGCACCCCTCACTCACCCAGAGATCGCGGCACCTGGCCGCACCCCGCACTCACCACGCGTACCCGGCAGTCCCGCGCGCTCCCACAGACCGGCCCGCACCTGTGCTCCGCGGTTTGCAGCGCTCCGGGTGCCGCGCACACAGACTACAACGCCCACAATGCAGCGTGGCGGGCGCGGGGCCTGCTGGGGTGGGCGTGGTCTGTGTGACCACGCCCCTTGAGGGGAGGGTCTAGAGCTGCGGTGCGCAGCCGCGGCGCGACTCTGCGGGCCACGCCCCCGCGGGCGGCAGTGAGCGCTCCAGTCTTTGGGACTGGCCGAGTGGTCCCCCCCGCCCCGCGGCGCGCGACTTCCAGCGGCTCCTCTGTCCCTATACCCTCGCGCTCGTCCCCTCCGCCACTCCTGTGCCCCCCGCTGTCCCCGATCCTCTCACGCGCGATCCCCGCCCGTCCGGGCCGCAGTTCCCGCCGCGAGCCCCTTCCAGAGCGCGAGGACGCCTGCAGCCCGCCTCGCTTCCCAGTGGCGGCCCAGCCGTGACTCGGGCCGGGGCCCTCCGCTTCCCTCGCTGGCCCGCACGGGGCCCTGCTGTGCTGCGCTCCTTAGGGCCTGTGCCCGCCTAGCCCAGGGTCCAGAATGCCCCATGCTCCCCTCCCTGGGTCGCAGACAGCCTGTGCCTGACCCCGCCTGACCTTCAGCCAGCCGGGCAGGAAGCTGAGATGCGAGGGACGGTGGGCCACCCGGCCCCAACGCTCCCCGGGGGACTCTGGCAGCCAGCCTCCTAGAGGCCTAGGCTTGGCCGCAGCCCCTGCCTGTGCCTCATTCCTTTGCAGTCCTGCAGGCCAGGCCCAGAGCGGAGGGAAGCAAAGCCAGCAGGGTCTGGAGGAAGTGGGCACAAAGAAGGCCGGTGGCAGAACTGAGCAGGTGAGGCTGGGCAGCCCCTGAGAATACCAGGTCCCGGGCAAGGGGCAGACCAGGGCAACCAGTGAGCAGCTGCCACGCCTGCTGGACTTCAATACCTGCAGGGTACTGGGCGCCTTCCCTGGGCCAGAGTCTCCACCCCGTGTCCAAGGCTGTGTTCAGGAGGTCCAGGCACCTGGGCAGTGCCCCTCAGGTTGGATCAGCTGCAGGACTTGTAGGCAGCCCCTGCCCCCCCCCCACGTGGCCGGAGCACCTCCTGTCCTTCACCCCACAGGGAGTCCTAGCACCCACTGGCCTCCTACCAAGCCAGCCTAGCCCCTACCATGGATCCCCGTGTGTACTAAACAGCAGAAACAAATCTCAAACGTTTAAAATAAAAAAGGTTGCTGGCTTGAAAGTGGGATCTGCGGTAGCTGGGAAAATTTCAGGGACAGCAGATGATTCTCACACCCTACACCCTCAGGCGTACTTCAGACTAATCTCCAGATTTAGACATTGTCCTCCACGGACTTGGTGAAGGGTGGCAGTGCGCCCTCTGGGAGCAGGAGGTGGGGAGTGGGTCTCAGATGTCTGGAAGAGGAAGTACACAGACCAGATGCAAGAGGCACGGCCAGGAGGAGCCTGCCCACAGAGGCAATGATGGTGCCCACCATCGGGCAGTACCTGCCAGCCTGCCCCTCACCTGTGAGCCCACCCGGACGGGCACAGGCTTGCCCAAGCCACACTGCAGGTCTCCTGGCCACAGGAGGCCCAGGGTTGCTGCAAGAGCAGCTGTAAGCGGAGGGGACCATGGTGACCGGCAGTCCCAGAGGCCACTGCCCTGAGGGGGAGCAGGAAGCGTTTTCAGAAACTTCTGGATTCCTGTGGTCCAGGACCCGCCTTGATGTGAGAAAGTGTCACTTGCACACAAAGGCCAAGACGTGCAAAAACATGTTCTGGTGGTAAGCAGGCAGGTCCCTGGGCCCTGCATGTCAGTCATGACAGGTTTTAAGAGGCGCTCACGTGTTTGTCCCTGTGCAGCACAGCATGGGCTGCTGGGAGCCTGGCACACCACATGAGCATTGGTCCCTGGGTGGCCTGTGGGCTGCAGGGGTCACCTGGCCCAGCAGGCTCATAGAAACCCTGCCTCTCCCCCGCCCTAGGGTAAGTTCAGGCAGACCCTGCAGCCCAACCCAGCAGTAGGCTGGGACCTCTCAGGGTGTCCCCGTGTGGCACCATATAGAGCCCACCTCCCCAAGGCCCAGGGTTGCCTACCCACCAGCTGCCATTGGTGCCCAGCTGCAGCCTTCTGTCCCGACCTCCTCCCAGCGGAACTTCAGGTGAGGCTGGTCCTGGGGTCAGGGGCTCTGAGGTCAGGGTGCCTCGGGAGAACCACTTAGCTGCAGCCTCAGTTTCCCTCCAGTGAGCCAGTGAGGATGAGAACCAGATGAGGCGGGCACTTCGCACAGTCACGGCCTCTAAGGCAGGGCTCCTGGACAGTCAGCAAGCACAGTGGCTACTCCCTGCCACAGCCCAGACACAGGGCACAGACAGGCCCAGTGGGAGGAGGCAGAGGGGCTCCCAGCCTGCTCTCTCCAGCTGGCCAGTGCACAGCTGAGCTTGGTTAGTGCTCCAGAGAGTCTGGGGTGCTCTGGACAAAGGACTTGGCCACCAGGTCCCCCCACTCTTGCCCAGCCCAGGGCTCCCCACAGTGCATCTCCCCTACCTCTGCTAGAGCTGGTGCTGGTGCTCTCTGATCAGAACCGTGGCCTCCCAGAACAAGGCCCAGCTTGGAGACACAGCCTGGGCCTGGCCCCAGGGCATCAGGGATCCAGGCCCAGGTTTTCATCCCTGGGCTCCTCCCAGGGGACACTGTCCCGGCGCTGCCAGACCCAGCCAGGACACACAACCCACAGCAGCAGGCAGCCTGTCTGCCCCCCAGAGCAGGGTCCCGGACCCTGACGAGGGCGGGGCACATGTGTGAAGGGATGGAGCACCACTGTCCCTCAGCATGGAGGGCCATGGTCAGCGGGGAGAGGGGAGCCAGTGTGACACGCCGACCTTGGCGCAGACCTGGACAGGGAATACAGGGGAGAGACAGACAGATGCACATGTGCACCCTGGGGCCAGGGCAGTATGTTTCCAGTGGTTTGAGTTCCTGCAACTTCTGAGCCTCCAGCCAAGGCCTCCCCCACACTCACTTGTGGGCTGCACGGGTCATGAGCTTGAAGGTGGCCTCCTCCTGTGAGCAGGTCGCTCAGAGAAGCCAAGGCCTGGCCCTGAGGCCTCAGCAAGGCCTGGCGTGTGGAAGGCCCTGGACAGTGGCACCCAGGGCTGGGCTCCTGGTGAGGCCTGGAGGGCCATGGGTATAACCGTCCCTCCCCTCCGCCTCACACACAGGCACCATGCAAACGCAGAGGACGTCACGGCGCAGCATCCCACGTGCGGGCCAGCTGTGGACTGGTCCGTTCCTGTGCTCGTCCAGAGTTCGTTGCCTGATTGTACCTGGGACGTGGCTGGCTCTGACGGCCTGGCAGTGTCGTCATACCAGGCGCCCCCACTCACGTGGTGACCACCAGCACCCGCAGAGACCACTGCATTCCCGACATCCTCCCTGAATAGCACCAGGTGTCTGTCCCTTCTGCTCCGCCCCTCCTGACTCCAGGGCCGCGCCTGCTTGGGAGCAGTGTGTACCCTCGGCCGTCACCTCTGCTCTCAGCCTCGCGCCTGGTCTCGTGGCGGGGCTGGAGCCGAGCTGGGCTGAGCTCCTGCTGCTGCCCTCTCCTCCCTGTCTCCTTGGGGCCTTAGTGGAACAGTCCCAGTGGTTCTGGCCCTGTTGTCAGGGTGCCTTGAGTGACTGTGTCACTGGGGCCCTGCCCTGCCCTGTGGGTGAGGACCTGGGGAGCAGCCTGGTGAGGGCCTAGCTGGACACCCTAACCCCAAGAAACCCCTGCTAGGGGAGCAGACCCTCGCCTCACCTCCTTGGTCACCTCAGGTCCTAGCAGCCGGTTCTGCCTACTCCACCCCTCCCCTGGACATGCCTCTGGGCTGGGGTTCCACCCTCACCCTTACAGCCCTCTCTGCAACATCAGGACCACCTCCTGGGAGCAGGGGAGGGGCCGCGCCCTGGACCAGCAGTCAGACTGACCATGGAGAGCTGATGGGATTCCGCAGGGACGGGAGGAAGTGGAGGGGAAGAGGTGCGCTCTGCCTGCAGAGGGCCCGTCCGTGCCAAAGGTCCTAACAAATCTACCGAAACACCACAGGGTCTTTTAGGCCTCAGCAGAGTAGATCAATTTACCAAGGTCACAGGGTACAAAGTCCATGTATGAAGCTGATTGTGCCTCTAAATATTAGCAACAAATCCTTGGTGTATCAACTAGGGTTCACTAGAAGTAGGGATTTAATATAGTACTATATATACATATGATTTACAAGGCAGGCTTACCGTGGCCGCATGTGGAGCCAGGTGAGGGCGGTAAAGGCCCTCTGTGAGCTGGACAGCTGACCGTCCTGCCCGGGCGAAGCCATGGAGCTCACTGCAGAGTCCCGCACCCCTCCAGATCAGGAAGCTGAAGAGTGTGCCGAAGCCAGAAACAGACACCCGAAGCAGCGGTGAGGGCTGAGTCCCGCTCCCCTCCCTTCTTCCCTTTATTCCCTCCAGGCCCCCAGCCACCAGCACCCAGCCTGGGTCTTCCCTCCTCAGTACATTCATCGTCCAGACGCAGCCAGAGCTGTGCTGAGCCAATCGGCCGGCACTTCCTATTCATGTCCACACCACATTTGACTATCACACTTACAAAACACAGTTAAAAAAAAAAAAAGGGCTGGGGATATAGCTCAAAGGCATAAGTGCGTGTTTGGCGCTTAGCACAAGGTCCTCAGTTCAATTCCCGGTACCAAAAAAAAAGAAAAAAAACAAAGTTTAAAAACACTACTTTCAATAACATCAAACAATTGTAAAGTGCCTAAGAATTAAACTAATTGAAAATGTGCTCTACGCCAAAAATAATGAAACATTACAGGGAGAGATTAGTGTCTGTAAAGAACTACGAAAGCTGGCTGAGAAAATAAACATCTCAATGAACGGGAGTCGGGAGATGCTTGTCCATAGGCCTGAGGGCTCGTCATCGTACACATCCTCCCTGACGGTCTGGGTCAGTGCAGTCCGAACTCTCCACAGGCTTTTCAGTCTGTAGAAACTGAGCAGCGGACTCAGAGTCGGTCTGGAGACACGGAGGAGACGCAGACCTGCTCAGACCTGTTCACTGTGGACAGCGGACCACACACACCGGAGCTGTGACCCCGAGGGGGAAAAAGACAGTTCTCACCCGAGGGCTCAAGAACAGTGGGCCCTGCATGCGGGAAGATGTGCGCATGGGCCTGGCCTGGGGTGGCTCCGAGGCAGCGCCCTCCCTAGCGTTCAGGAGGCCTGGGGCCCTCCCTGCACCACGCACTAAGACAGCACCCATCTTACTGCACACCGCACACAAACACCAATTCGAAGTGCACCACAGACCTCAGCAAAGAGCCACAGCTGGATGCTGGAGAGACTGGGGCAGAGGCGGAGCTGCGAAACGTCTAACCTGTGCTGATTAGTGTGGTGGTCGTTTTAACAGCCACATATGGCTGTTTAAATGAGTTAATTAAAATTAAGCTACCAACGCCATTCCTCGCAGCTCCTGTGCTCACGAGGGCCGGACGGCTGGTGACTCCACTGTCTGCAACAGGTCTCCTCTGCGGCAAGCGTCCACTTTCCGTCACCGAGACGAGGTCCCTGAGATAACGGATGTGTAAGGAGGGACGGTTTGTGGTGGCACAATTTGGGGTTTCAGTCTGTGGCTGCTGGGCCCTGTGGTTTGGAGCCCGTGGTGAGGCAGGCATCCTGGTGGGGTGCACAGCGGCACAAAGCTGCTGGGATCCTTTCCTACAGGCAAAGGGAACCAAGAAGGGCCAAGGCTCCTGCCTTCCTCCGGGGCTCATGCACAGGGACCCCAAGGCCGCACACCTCCCCAGGCCTTTGCAGCCTCTCTTCCACCCAGTGGCTCCTCCACGGAGACCAAGCCACACGCAGGCCTTGGGGACCGCTGGCAGCCAAACTCTCGCGGTGCTCCATGGGTGGCAGCAGGAAGGCGTCTCCGCAACTGGGGGGCACACAGGAAGCAGAGTTTGTGACGGGGAGGGCACCACGTGACGTTCACTTCCGGAGACGCTTTGTTCCTCAGGGGTTTCCAGTAAACACCTGGGCGGCAGCCCAGGGAGGAAACATTCGTGCTCTGTGGCCGATAAGACAGGAGCTGGACCCACTCAGAAGACTTGAACAACCTGTACAACCCAGGAATGGAAAGATCAATAACCCATTAGAAGATATGAAACAGACACCTAACACAGATACACAGATGACTAACAAGCATGTGAATGTGTGCCAGGGGTCGCAGTCACGCCTCGCCGGGGAAAGAGGACCGTTCACCCCCATTACAAGGGCTGACGTGAACAGCAGCAGGGAGCTTCGCCAGGACGCGGAGAGACCCCCGTACATTCAACAGTGCACCATGTGGGACGCGGTCCCGCGAGCTTGCTCGGGCTCCAGATCCGTCCACACAGAAGCTGGTGCCCAGCTTTGCCCTGATCGTATCTACCCACAATCGCTAAGCATAGGCGGCAACCCAGACGTGCATCAGCAGATAAGGGTGGCTGGGCGGTGGAGACAGCTCAGGATGAAGAAGGACGCCCCCAGAGAGAAGTCACCATGGTGCGGCTGGAGTGGGCCGTGAGGTCCCCCTCGGGAGCTCTGTCTTGCACGAGGCGGGGCGCTCGCTGGGTCACGGCCAGGGGACACCTGTATCTGTGGGTGTGGGACCTAAAGGCACGTCCTCATGCCAGAGCATGTCCAGACGCATGCTTCTGTGGGTGTGGTTTACCGCCTGTGAACTGCACCTCCATAAAATCGACTTTTTGAGCGCTCCGTGCCCTCCCTCTCCTACTGGAAGTCAGGGCCCGCCCAGCTAGTCCTGAGGGGAAGCCGTGGAAGGGGCCACAGGACTAGGCGGACACCAGGGGCATCCAGTAAGACAGGCTGGGCGTGCCAGCAGGGAGGGGCGGGGGGGGCGGCGGCGCTGGTGCCCTGCGCTCCTGCAGCTGGGACTCGGTGCCCTGGAGGTGGGGTGCGGCTCACTGCACAGACCTCTGTGCCTCAGCGTGGAGACCCCTATCCCCTGCTCGGCCTAGGGGCGGCTCTCCGGGCTGCGATCCCTGAAGCCCCCATCCCTGGGCCCGGGGTTGTGCACTTTGCTGTTCCAAGACCGGCCACGAGGGGTCAGTGTGGGCAGTGATCGCCGGCAAAACACCCGCCACCCTCACCCCGTGGAGGGGGTGGGGGGCTCACCTTCCCAAGACCCTCGTGCCCCACGGGGCTGCGTGGGACCCTCCTCTCGCCCACCCTGTCCCCGGGCAGTGCCCGATGCTCCTCCCGGCCCCACTGATGCTCTGGCGCCCAAGCTGGAGAGGAGGTCCCCAGCTCCCTCCCCTTGGGCGTGGCTGCACGGCCGTCCGCCCTGCTGCGACGTGAACGCTTCCAGGGGAAAAGGCAGGCCCCAGATTCTGTTTTACACTATTTTCTTTATTGAAGAACTGTCATTTGGATTAAAAAATCAAGTTAGAATTGCATTTAAATTAATTAAAATTATTTTCTGCTGTCCTCATTACTCCGTTCTTTTACGTTCTTTTGCCTGTGTTGTGTTCCCTTCCTGCCCTGGTCTCTGTTACTTGTTCTTTAATCTGAACAGTAAAACCGAGAAATAACGAGGGCGCCTGATGACTCTGCAGTGTGCCTTGGGCCGGGACAGGTGTGATTCCTGCTCAGGGCCCTCCGGCTCAGGACGCTGTTGGAGGAAGGTTTCAGATCTTCCCAGCAAAAACTGCATTTTTTTTTGTCTCATTAGTGTTTTAGTTTTAGAGTTAAGATCTGAGAATGCGGTCTATACAAGTGTTCGCTTTTGATTTTTTTTTTTTTTCCGGTACCAGGAATCGAACTCACGCCCTTGCACTTGCCAGGGAGGCGCTGTGCCGCTGAGCTAAATCCCCAGTCCTAAGTGTTCGCTTTTGAAACTGTTCTGAGCCCTGATTTTGTGGCGTGGCTGTCTTCTAAATGACTTCTAAAACTTGTGCTAAAATACTCAGGACATTGACCTTTGTGGTTCTTACGTGCACCTTGACCGGCGCGGAGACCTTTGAATCGCAAAGCCGCCTCCACCACCATCCACCACCATCCACCTCCAGTCCTTCCCACGCGCAACCTCTGTGCCCCAGGCCTCGCGGTCCTGCTTCCTGCCTCAGTTCCTCCTCTTCCTGTTTGGATGGGAGGTGGCATGAGGCTCCTCCCCCTGTGTCTCGCTGTCTCCACTCAGCCCAAAGTCCTGAAGCTCCCCCCCGCTGCCCCGTGGGGCAAGTGTCACAATATCCTTCCTTTTCAAGGTTGCATAATACTCCACAGTGTGGATGGACCACGTCACGCTTATCCACCGTCTCCTGAGCCTGGGTGGCTCCTGCTCAGCGTTGGGTTGACTGTGGTTAATAGTACCACTTGCTATTATTTTTACTATGATTATTGTGATTAACAAGTCTATAGGTGAGGTTGTGTCTTAATGTTTGGGTTCTATTTTCCTATGTTTGAGAGCACTTGGGGTCGGCACTGACCCCCGCCCCATTTTAAGTCAGGGCCTCGCAGGGCCGCCCCATGGTTTCACATTTCCAAAATGGTGCGTCGCGCTGTTTAGCAGTTCTGAGTTCTGTGCGCGGCGCCGCCGGGTGGACTCTGCGCTTGCTGCTCCGCTGTTTTCCCGAGTTCGGGCGGCTCTGGCGCGCCTGGGGGAGAGCGGCCGCCAGGGGGCGCCGTCTGGGCTGCCGGCGCCGCTAAGCGGGGGGCGGAGGGCGCTCGCTGGGTAAAGCGCAGACCAGAGCGCCTCCTCCCGGGAGCCCGGACCCCGAGCCGTGCGGGCACCAGGCTCCTTCCGGACCCGCCTCCTTCCAAAGCCACCTCCTGGCTTTGGGGCCTGGAGGGGACCTGGGCCCCCGCCGGGTGTCCTCAGGCTGACGGTGGCCTGCGCGGCGCCCCAGTCGGGGTGAGGGTCCTGGGTCCTGCTCGCCCGGTCTGTCACGGCACCCCGAGTGCCCAGGGCCGGCCAGGCCGGGAGGGGCAGCGCAGGGTGGAGTGCGGGGCCGGGCCTTGTTCAGCCCCCACGCCCTGCGGGAGCCGTGGGCTTCGTCTCGCAGGGACCCGGGACCTGCGAGGGTGTTTGGGGCTGGGGTGTAGGCAGCTGTTTCTTTCTCCCTCCCCCAGGGCAGAAGCCCGGTGTCCTTGGGTGGCCCGCAGACGTGTCGGGGCAGGGGCCAGAGCTGGAGTAGGGGGCACACGGAGCTGGGAAGGGACCCGGGCAGCCTCCAACGGTGCCCGCAGACCCCGGCTGCCTGCGGAGGAGGTGTGTGTGTCAGAGCGCTGGTCCAGGGTGCCACTGGCCACAGGCCTGCCCGGCCGGTCTGGCTGGCAGGCATTGGTCAGTGGGCAGCGTCCCCACCGCCACACTGGACCCCGGGTGGCCGGCCACAGGGCAGAGCCTGGCTCCCTGCCACCCTGCTGCTGGGTGCCACCCAGGTCCCCGAGTGGCTGTGGGTGTTGGTGCTACGACTTGTGAGGCCCAGCCAGGCATCCGAGATTCTTAGGTGGAAACCTTGATTTTTAACTAATTAGGAATTTTAAATTAGTTAAGACTAATTAAAACTGATTACATGTGTACTAATTAAAGCTAATTGAATTCTTTCCAAAGCACTGTGCAGACTAAACCACCCCCAGCCGGCTGGCAGCAGGTGAGATCCGGGGCCAGGCGGGGCAGGACCTCGGGAATCGGGCTCCGGGCGCACCTGTCTGTCGGCACTGCCCAGCACTGTCGCTGCTCCACCTCACCTCCAGCGGGCACAGACGGGAGCAGCGGCCGCCTTGGAGCGAGGGGTGGGCGCAGAGATGAGCGGCCTGCCTCCTCCGGCATCCCCAGGACCTGGGCAGCTGTGGCCTCGGCTTCCCTCGGGGCAGTACCCTCCAGGCTGGCCGCTTTGAGAAGCCCCTGACCCAGGCAGGTGCAGCCCAGCCTGGCCTCCGCCTGGTGCCTTCAGAGCTGCCCTGGCCCTCAGAGCTGGGCGCGGCCAGGGCCCACTGAGGGCTGGCTCTAGAGGGTGGTCCTGGCTGCAGGAGCTGCCCGGGATGAGGAGGAGATTGGGAGGTTGGACCCGTCGTGGGGCAGGACTTGGGGCAGAGAACCCCTAGCCGGGCCTTGGGCGGTGAAGAGAGTGTGCGTGTGCGTGTGCGTGTGTGTGTGTGTGTGTGTGTGTGTGTGTCTCTGCTGCGCCCATAGGCAGAGTTGGGCGCTGGCACATGACACCGCCAGTCACAGTCCCTGAGGACACACAGCACAGTGGAAAGGCCTGAGGGACAGGATCTGCGGATGTGTCTGACCAGCGGGGCAGCGGGGGGCATCGGGGGGAAGGAAGGGAGGCCCACTCCGGGCCACAGCCTTGGGCTGACCCCTCGTGTGGATGCCAGCGATGGAGCTGAGTGACACCCTCCCCAAGGGCTCTCAGGCCTGGCTCCTGGGGCAGGTGTGGGGGGGGCACAGGTGGGCCAGGGGTGACCACAGGCAAGGGCAGCACTGTCCCCCGGTCCTCCCAGGGTCCTTGTAGCCGCCATCCTCACTGCCATCCTCACTGCTTCTGCCCCGTGACCCTGCACCTCTTGGGGACCCACGGTCCTGGATTTGAGGGTCTGCTGGTGACAGGAACTAGGAACTCCTGGAATTCCTGCCTGGAAATTCAGAGCAGCGTGGGAGGAAAATGGGGTGTTAGTGGCTGTCCCACAGCTTGGCCGGGGGGCCAGCAAGACACCCAGCTGCCCCGGCCTCAGGAGGGGAAGGTTGTGCCTATCTGGCCCATCATTCTGTGAGAGCACAGTGTGAAGCTGCCCCAGGGACGTGGCTAGGGCGGGGCTTGGAGAGTGGCGGGGCACGGCCGGGGGGTGTGGCTGCGCCTCACTCCTTACCCCTTCTCGGTGTCGCCATCCAAGCTGGGATGGGAGCCGCCCAGGGCTAGAGTGTGGGCTCTGAGGGTGGGGCCCGGGTTGGACCAGGCCTGGGCTCTGAGGATGGTGGTGATGGACCGGACCCAGGAGAAAGTGTGGCCTCCCCTCTGCCCCGGGGCTGAAGTCCCAGGCTGACCCCTCCAGCACTTGCCCCACCCCGTCACTGTGGTGGGCTCCTCGGGACCCGGGGGGTGGGAGGGTCCCCAGGGATGAGGGGGAGCAGAGATCCCACCGAGGGGCACCGCATGTGGAGTCAGGATGGGGCAAGTGCTCTGGCATTGTTTGAACCGTCACCCCTGCCCTGGTCACCGTAAAGTGACAGGTGGCTCCAGCCAGCTCAGCCCCAGCGCCACGCACGCGCCCCTCTGCCCAGGCCTGGGCAGCGGGTCCTGTGGCCGAGGCCCTCCGCTCTGCTTCCTCTTGCCTCCCTGGCCCCTGACCCTGAGACTGGGCAGCCTGGGCGTGTCTGGTACCTGAAGAACGTGCAGGGGCCGTCCCTGCTGCCCGTCCCAGGCCCCCCACTGCTCAGCCACGGGGCAGTGAGACGGGCTGCAGTTCATCCACGTCTGTCTGTCCAGGTGTGGGGGGCCACTCACTCATGTCCTCCTAGGACCGAAGGCAAGGGCTGCGGGTCCTTGTACCTTGTGTGCTCCCTGGCACAGAGGTGTGCAGAGCCCCCGAAACATACC